AGCATTAAGACAAGAGTCTGGAGAACCTATTAGGAAATATCTAAGTAGACTAAGAGATACTAGTAGATATTGTGACTTTAATGAACTTGAAGAAAAAGGAATGACAATAGAGGAGGAATTGATTCAGCTTTGACTGGTGGAAGGATTATATGATACTATGCAAAGACTTAAAACTTTGGAGAGGTTGCAATCCATTAATACGAATTTGGAAGCGTGTATTGAATTTATACAGCAGGATGAGTTGATTGAAAAATATAATATACAAAAAACCAACAAGAAGAAATGTGCCATTGAGAAAAAAATCAAATCAAAATGCAAGTATTGCGGTTATGAATATGAACCAAGAAGAGATAAATGTCCCACATGGTGAAAGATATGTGATAATTGTAAAAAAAAAGAATCATTTTAAAGCCATGTGTAAATGGCAAAGCAACAATGTAAAAAAAAAAGTGGGAAAAAAATCAAACGGTTGTTTTTACAATAGAAAAGAAAAACAAATGGATTACATTCAAAAGTATAAAGTTGAATGGTATAAATTTAAAGATGTAAGTCGACACAGGAAGTGAGGTAACTCTCATTCTTAGAAATTTTTGGGAAAAATTAAGGAGACTGAATTTAAGAAGAAGCCCAGTAAAACTAAAACAATTTGATGGAACCTGTATCAAAACGTTAGGTTCATTTCAAGGGACATTTGAAACAGCAAAGAGATTTTAAATAATCACCATCATAGTAGTGGATTGTATAAAAAGTCATGGCCTAATAGGTACTGACTTAGTGAGTGTTGACAGTACATAATTACTGAATGCTGTCAATGTTAAAAGTTTTGAAACAGGAACATTAAAAAATTATAAAACAAACATTAAGCTAAAAAGAAATGTTATGCTGTCATATTTTCAAAGTCATAGGCTTCCCATACATATAAAACCAATGGTGATTGAGAAGCTGAACAAAATGGTAGAAGAAGGAATACTTCAACTTATTGACCCAGTAGGCAGTAAATGGGCATCCTCTATTGTCGTCGAAAGGAAACCTAATGGTGATGCTAAAGTGTGTGGTGGTTACAAGGTAGGTGCGAATCACAAAATTTGTTCAGATTTATATCCTATTCCAAATGTAGAAAACATATTGCATTCCTTTGCAGGAATGAAATATTTTGCTAAAACCGATTTAAAGAATGCATACCACCAAATCTAAATAGATGACGAATTCAAAGAAGTTACAACAATAAACTCACCCATAGGCTTATTGAAGTGGACTCGATTACCATTTGGAGTTAAGACAGCCATTTCGATTTTTCAGAGAGCCATGGAAAATATACTAGAAGGGAAAGTAAAAAATGTAATAATATACCAGGATGATATTTGGTTAGGTGCCCGTACTGAAGAAGAATTAAAACAGAAAACTAAAATGGTGATGAGTATACTCAGAAATGCAGGAATTACTTTAAACGAGGATAAATGTATATTCAAGTGCAAAAAATTAACGTTTTGGGATTATCAAATTTCAGTGGAGGGTACTTCACTGGATACAGAAAATATTGAATGTTTTGTCTCCAAATAATAAGAAAGGGCTGGAATCATTTTTTGGATTAGCTAACTTTTATAGAAGTTCTTATCAAAATATTCAGAAAGAATTGAGCCATTTGCTGAATTACTAAAAAAAAAATAAGGAGTTTCACCAAAAAGCCTTTGTTAAATTGAAGTTAGAAGAAACCGGTTGTCAAGATTTTTGACCCTAAAAAAGAAGTTACATTAACAACAGATGTGAGTGGACAGTCTGTATCGGCAATTTTATCACAGGAAGGATGCCTGGTGATGTATCTTTCCAGAAAGTTAATGCCAGCTGAAAAGAACTATTCAAATATTGAAAAGGAAGCATTGGCTATAGCATGGAGCATGACCAGAGCAAGAGAATTTTTGTTAGGAAAAAAAGTTTTTGCTCAAGTTGGATCATAAACCGCTAGAATTTATATTCCATCCCAGAAAATAATTGCTGAAGGTTACATCGTCAAGGATACTAAGTTGGGCAATGAAGTTGATGGCCTTTGACTACAAAATATGTGAAAGGAAACACGATCCCATGTGTAGATGAACTATCACGACTACAGTTTGAGGAGGAACAACATGAGAAAAATGAGAAAGTGGAAAATGAAATTTTACATTGGGTGGAGACTGATGTATTGCCCATTAACAGACTCGTGATGGAGACTCTACAAGATCCAGTATTGAATAGGATCATAGAGAGAATAAGGAACAACAAATGGAGTAATTGTTCTAAAGTGGAAAGACTGTACAAAGAGATCAGACATAAATTGACAATAGAAAATGGCATAATTTGCAATGGAGATCTGGTGGTACCATCAGAAAAATGTAAAAGACAGGTAATCAAAAGTGTGCATGATGATGTGCATTGCAGAATAGCTGCTACACAAAAACACATAAAATTGGAAGCCTGGTGGCCTGGTCACACTCGTGACATGGAGATGTACATGAATAAATATTCTAAATATGCAGAGATAAAAAATTTTTGACAGAACAAGTCACATTCGTAGCCAAAGGAAACTGAACCAGGGTTCACATGGACCATGCACGTGTGAATTGTATAGGATTGTGTCTGATATTGGTGGATGCGTTTTCGGCATGGCCTGAAGTTTTTAGGGTTCAGGATAGAAAATCAGATACAGTACAACAAATTTTATGAACAGTCTTTGCCGGGAATGGGGTAACAAGGACATTGGTAACAGATAATGCTCCAGAGTTTTGCGATGAAAAGTTGTGTTTATGGTTAAGAAACATTGGATGCATACCATATAAAACCCCTCCTTATCATTCGCAATCATATGGAATAGCGGAGCGAATGGTGCAAACCATAAAAATGGGATTAAAAATGTTCTCCCCACAGCATGAAAGAATCGAAAATTTTCTACCAAGATTGTTATTAAGTTATCAGACAATACCTCATGCTGGAAGATTACAAATGAATGAGAAGATATGGTACAAGAGAAATGGGGGAAGAGGAGCCAGAAAAAGTAAGATTTGTAATGCAGAAAGGACAGAATACAGCATTGGTTTCCAAGAATTGTAGAGGTCTATTGGCATATGCTGAGCAACTAAGATTGACTATGAAAACTATGAAGATTCAGAAACTGAAGATACTGAGGGGTTAAATGAAGATAGAGAAGAACAAGATAATAGATCAGAGGAAACAATGAGTGCTTAAGGGTTTTCTGAGGAATCAGAGAACAAAACAGTGGATATTGAAGAAGAAAGTAGTAGGTCAAGATCTCCTATAAAGAGAAATCGTCTTGAAACCAGTGAAAGGGGAAGGGTAATCAATAGGTCAGTTCAGGGAGGAGTTAAACCTAAAAGGTTCCAGGGGGTGTAGTGAGATTTGTTGGGCTAATACTAATTAGCATAACCATACCACTATATAGGCAGAACTTGAGATAGACTGGGGAGTATCAACCTCATAAAACTTGGTTTAGGTTGCATGTTGATTATGCAAGACCTTTGAATGGTGTATATTACCTTATTGTCATCGACAGTTTTTCAAAATGGTCTGAATTATTTAATTATAGAATACCTACTTTATTAAATTTTTTTTATGAACTGTTTTCGAGATTTGGTGTCCCAGATACTATAGTGTCTGATAATGGCACGTGATTTACTTGAATGACTTTCAAAATTTTTGCAAATACTATGCAGTTGAACATATAACAACCGTACCACCCAAGATCAAATGGTCAGGCTGAATGTTTTGTTGATATATTCAAAAGGGCGTTAAAGAAATCAAGCAGGGTGGAGACGGAAGAAGTAATGCTCCAACAATTTTTAAGAATTTATAGATTGATCCTTAACCCTAATACTTCATTGTGGATATTACAAGCAGAACTAATGTTTGCCAGAAAAATTAAATTAGTGTTTGATAAATTATACCTGAAACAAAAATAGAAAGTTGGCATAGTAAGAAATCAGCTATAAAATCTTTCAAAGCTGAAGAAAGGAAAGTTGGGAAGATGGTGAAATAATACATCACATTGGCAGAATGATGTATATGGTACAAGGTTGAAATTGGTATCATAAAAGGCATTAAAACCAAGATATACTAAGGAAATAAAAACCCAACTAAGAAATTTGTATATAGAAGTACTGTATGATACTTTTGACTTGCCAACTCCAATTATAACTACTTGAAAATGCTGTGTTAGTAAAAGAAATCCAAGGGAAGTGTTAGAAGGGGTCTCCAAAAGAAGGAAATAATGTATTCAAAAGAGAATGCATATCTTAAAAAGAGGGTTGTTGTGTAGAAAGACGACTGACCTTTGCTACACTGAAGTGGACTCTTCAGTTGACTATGAAAGTTGTTGCAAGCAGGTTGCACATGGAGAGTTGCAAAGAGTGTCAGACTAGTATTAAGCAGTTATTTCACTAATCTTGTATTTCAATGTTTTCCCTTAGAATATTATTAACCTGAACTACAAGTTGATATGAGTGTTATAACAATATATATATATATATATATATATATATAGTTTAGTAGATAGTTCATATTGTGAGTTTTACTGATATTATAAGACTAAAAAATGACAGTGTAAGTGTCTCTTTTCCCTCTTTGAAATGAATGTATAAATTTAGTCAACTTGAGTTTAAAATTAGACCATTCCTCCCTGTTACACATGATGTGAATGTTTGTACATGTTTTTATTGCCTTTAGTTTTATTTTGCAATTTCTAGGATAGGCATGAATTCAAATTTTTTTTCTACTGACAGACCTATTTGACTTTCACAATGCTTCATAGAGTGAGGAGGTAATGAAGATGCTGTACAAGTCACTTTCTGTATGAAAGTAATCATTTAAAAAGTAGAGTAATATACTCTGAAATTGATGACAAGCATGTTTGTTAAATGATTTTATTCTTTGAATTTAGTATCTATTTATTTGGAATTGATCTCTTTGTGTAATCTGTCTACAAAGCTGTCACCTTATTTTCTTTCTTACAGATTTATCCTTATAATAATCACTCACAGTATAATAAACAGCACAATAAGTGCAGTGTTTGTGTTGCTTGTTGATTTTGCCATTGAAGTAGGATACAGTAGAAAGAAAGCAGTTATTGTTTATACCATTCAAGCTGTGTTTGCTATGTTAGCCAGGTAAGTGTCATATATCTGCCAAAATATCCATTACAAAGACTTGATGTTTTGTACAAAAGAAAAGTATTTCTTACCCTTTTATCTTTAATGAAATTTTACATAAACAACTTTAAGTATCCTGTTTATTTGCATATTAGACAATTTGAAACAATACATCATGATAATTCTCATTTAACATTTGAGATACTGATTATGCTCTTATTACAAAAACAATATTCAACATTGATTATATACAGTTCTTCACTTGGAAATCTTTTATTGATGTTGACATTATATCAACTATTTCATGGAACTTGGTTGTTTTCTGAATTCAAACTTCTCACATGAATTAAATTCTTTACTGAAAAATAATTTTTAAATAAAAAATAGAGAGTAATTCAAACATAATGATATTTAATTATGAATGGCAACCAACTACATGAAGTAAGCCAACACATTTTGGTTCACTGAATATTTAGATGAGTTGAAAAGTTTAATAAATTTCAACTTTAAGGATTAAAAGAAATCATATTATTTCAAAATAACTTTTTAACCCACTTTGGCTACATAGCATTAAAAGAGGCTGAACAATGTTTGTTGTCAATTGTTGATGGCTTTCTGTCTTATACTCTGCTGTATTAACTCTACAATTAGCAAATATAGGGAAAATAAAAGCTTTCTAAAGTATTATAATTCGTTTACATTTTCTTGAAATTTTAGTCTAAAATCTATAAAATAAAAGCATATAGACAACTAAAAAGCATATTTTCATCACAATCAATCTATGACTAGAATCTAGGTCATTATTTTCTTATGTAAATAATTATTTCATAAAAACTTTACCATTTGGAGAAAACCTCTAAGATGTTTTTATGACAATTGGAGCTAAAGTGATTCATTTTGCAATATGCGGAAATTAATTGAAATGTGTTATCTTTTTGTTTATTCTTATAAAATGGTTATCTTAACAGTATAAAATTCCTATTTGTGTAAACAATTCTTAGAAAATTGTCTTGAATATAGACATAAAATTTTTAGCTGTACCAATCCATTTTGTAGTTAATATTTTAAATGTCAGTTTTCATTATATGCAGCTGGCATTTGAAATGAAAATTGAAAATTATTCATTTTCACAAGTCAAAAAAAAAATTTCAAGAAATTTTTATGTAGTATTTGAAATGTGGAATTTAAATGCAGTTTTTTATAATGTTTTAGATTTGACAATTTTTTTAGATTACCAACTTTTTCTGTGAATACAGAAAACCATTTTTATTTTGTTATTTTATACTTTGGGAAACACTATATTTTAGATGATTTCAAAGGAGATTTTATGTGGAATATCCACTCTCAGTGCATATCACACAACATATCTGTTTTCACTTGCAAGTAGGTCATAGAGACAATTCGGTGATTAGCTTTCAATGCAAACCCATTTCTTAGTCTGATTCCTGGAGATTAGAACTCAAAGGAAACTGTTGAAGTTGCCTTAACATACGTGTGGTACAGATAATGAGGAAGGAGCAATTATTGTGTTTTTGCATTAAGTAATTCTTGCTCCTCTCCCATTCCTTTTTGTCTTTGTGGTCCTTGTTCTGCCATCTATTTATTTACACATTAAGTAGGTTGCACTCTCTACTACTCTTGCCTTAAATATGTCCCATGGGTGTTAAAATTTTCCAAGCCCTCTTTCCTCATTATTTTAGTAGTCATATAAACTTTCATAATTATGACTTATTTTATTGTAAAATGAGTGGAACTACCTTGAATGTCATGGTAAAATTAGATAAATAAAAAAATATATGGATAATGATGGGAGTAATTGTCTGTGTCCAAATATGTTTACAAAATTTGATAACTCAAATTGATAATCTGGGTGAAAGTTTTTTGATACAACCCACACTTTTGACATTATTAAGGAATTGCGTAGTATAAATGATCTAAGTTTATAATTGGTCTTTTGCTTTACTGCTGGGTGTTTAATCAATATGATTGTATTAAATCTGCTATTCAATCACTTATATTTATTTATGTATAACATTTATACTATATATCTTACATAAATACTTGTTAACACTATTCACATACAGAAATGCTATTAACTTAATTAATTAAACTGAATTATTTCAGAATCAAAAATACCTATATTCTAAAAGTCTGATATTAGGAATGTGAATAAAAAGATTGTTGTGAAATAATTCTATTCTCAAGTTTACTTTATCCTTCAATCTAGTTGCAATAATAAAAATATTTCCTGATATTAATGTAGATATTATACAATCATAAATGCATTTTTCAAATTAGCTTTTCATTGTTTTCTGGTTTAACTTGAAATCTTATTCTTGAAACACTAAGATACAACTATTAATTAAAGGATCTTAATACTTATTTCTATTTAATAAGGAGAATTAAACTTGCAAAACAAAAACCATTGTACATGTTTCTTTTTCTTTTACAGAGTATTTGTTGGCATTTTATCCCTTCTGCCACAACGGATCCGTCCCCCACACATTGTTCTATTTTTCTTGTCTGGATTATTTGGCAGTGTTATTATTCTTTTGATGCCATTAGCTGCTCAGAATTACAATACCTTAGTTGGCATCATCATGTTCTGGGGCCTTTTTATTGGCATTCGTAATGCTATAATTCCTGTGCTGTGTTTGGAGCTGGTTGGCAAGGATCATTATCCAATTGCTCTTGGAGTTTCTCAGACACTTATTGGCATTTTTACTATTGTGGCAGGACCTATTGCAGGTGAGTGAAAAATCTTCAACTTTTCTTTGGACATTGCATTATAATCAAGAATGTGATCAGAAGGAATAAAACACAGTTTTAGTTACACAATAACATTTACAATCTTCAACATTATTTAATTTCAATGTTTGTGCAATAAAAAATGATACATTATAATATATTTGGAATAATAATTGCATTTTATTATGGATTTTTAACATAAAAAGCAAATACATAGATATCTTTTTCTGTTATCACTTCCTGATTTTATTATTCAATTTTTTTCTTATTTCCAATGCATAATCAACACCATAAAGAGTCTTCAGGCTTAATATATAATTTATTAAAAATGTATTCTTTTGAAGGGACTATTTGTTTTAAAAACAATATACTTGTAAACTTCTTTAATTTTTCTCTATTTTAATGCATGTTAAATACTTTAATATTTTGAAAATTCTGTAATCTCTATTCTCCATTTTTACTTTTTTAAATGGTAAAATCTTTAAATCTATTATGTACTGTTGCAAATACTGTACTGATTTCTATTAAGGGAAATGAAACGACCAATACAATGTTATTTGTAAAGGTTAGAATTGTTTGGGATTTGTTCTGTGTCACTTTCCAAAATCTAATCAAATGACCAAACATCAGAATTTCAGCACTTCCACATATATTATTCAAGATGTTTATAATAGTCACTTAAAAAAAGAGATGCATGATTGCAGGCTGTAGCAATGAACTTTTCTAAACTCCATACAAAACAATACATGAATAATTTTTCAGCAATTTTTTTTTTTTTATTATTAATTTATTAACTTTTTATTATTAACTTATGCCTAAGTTTATTATTTTACATTCACAATGATGGAACAGAATTAATCATCTCTAAATAAGGTTGCATATGTGTTTCAATAATCAGGCTTGGTTTATTACAATTTTAGTCTAGGAATCTTTTCTAGTTTTCTAGGTAAGAATGCATTCAAAATGTAGGAAAGATATTCACTAAATATTCTTGGTTTGCTAAGCATTTGCTAGTGAGTTTTCAGCACCCACTTGTATGAAGTTTGGGAATTTAACATGTTTTTTAGCTTATTATGCACTATATTCTTTTTTACCCTTATAATTGTCTTGATTGGTTTATAAACATTCCCAAAGGGAATGCATTCTCCGTGAGAGATTTACATGTTGACATGTAAGTGTGAAAAGTAATATGAGAATGAGAAAAATATTGCAGAATATTTATAGTCCTGAGAGCGTGTCCTAGTAGCAGTTTTGAAAATTAGGAGGAGTTAATGTGACAGACATTAGAATAATCAAGAATCTATACTGGTAGCAAATCACCTGCATGAGGACAGAAAATGAGTTCAGCAGATATACAAAAAATGTTTAACCTATATAGTGAGGCAATTCTGAGAGAATTAGAAATCTTACCAGGATTCATTATTGGTCGCCACAATCTTAACAATATAAGATATGCAGATGACACAGTGCTGATAGCAGAAAGGAAAGTTCCTACAAAAGAAACAAAAGTTCCTACAGAAGGTAGCGAAGGAAAGCAAGAAGTAAAGGGCTAAGTATAAACTACAAGAAAAAAGAATGCATGGTTATCAGCAAAAGGATGAGCTCAAAATGCAAATTACAAACTGGGGATATTAAAATCAAACATGTAAAGAAATTTAAATATCTGGGAAGTGTTCTAACATAGGACAAAAAGTGTGACACTGAGATTCGAAGACGTATTGGGATGGCCAAAGATGTATTCCAAAAGCCAAGTAGAGTATTAAGGGACAGGAAAATTTCATTAGAAATAAAAAAAAAAAAAGAAAGAGTACTGGACTGTTATGTGATATGTATGTCCTGTATGTCAGTAAATGCTGGGTAATCTCCTCAAAGATGAAAAAAAAATTGAACCAACAGAAATGTGGTTCTACAGAAAGTTCTGAGGATAACCAGGGCTGAAAATGTGAGAAATGACCGGGGAGAGGGGTTAGAGAGAATGGAAACAAAGAGGAAACTTATACTTAATATCAGTTGAAATTTCTGAGGTATGTAATGAGGAAGAAGGGCTTGGAAAACCTGATATTCATGAGACAGATTGAAGGAAAGAGGGACAGAGGAAAACAGATGCCTAATGTACTTGATAAGCTTGAGCAAATGGATGATAGAACAGGTTTAGGGAGAAAAAAATTATGAAATGCTACAAGGGACAGGAAGATGGGAAGGGCCATGAACATGGCACATAAAAGAAGACTCAAAGTGTTTGGCAATAAATGATGGAATTAATGTGTGATTTTTCAATTTTTTTTCCTTTTAGTACAAAAAAATTATTGCTCATTTCTCATTTGCACAATTTTACTTAAGAAAAATAGCATTTTTTTCCATATATCAGATGTTATGGAAACAATGTATGAGCTGAAGTTGAACCAGCTTTGTAAACAGCATGAATTGTGGTTCAATGAATTTACAGTATACAAAGTACATAAAACTGGAAAAATATGCAAGAATGATTAGACTGAGTAGAAAGTTTTCTTTTTTTTTAACTTAATGTTTCTTTCTGAAGCCATTGCAGAATGATATCGTTCTAGTATTGGTGTTTAATAAATTTGGTTTATGCAGAAGGATCAATTATTTTTAACTAAAAGATTTTTAAAGCATTTCTCTTCAGATATTCAATACATACTCATAAGAATTTCTCTGCAAGCATTGAAATTTTAAGTTTCATTCTGAAATTCTCCATTTTTTTAAATTTCTATAACCTGACCAAAAAAGCAAGACTACATTTCTCAGTACATATATGAGATTTTCTACTTTTTCATGAAGTGTGAATCTGAATTTGTGCTTTTTTCATTTACTTTTAAAAAGCAACTTATAACTACAAGGTAACCAAAAAAGTTTTGTCCATTTTTTGATTAGTCATTGAATGAAGTTGAAATATATATGAAATGCGTGTAGCAATTATTTTCAAATTTGGACAGCCAGAAGTAGGAACATCAGACGTTATAAAAAACACACGCACCATGCCCGGCCATCAGTTATAAGCTGGACAGCTGTGAGAAGGATGGAAGTGTCTAGAGATCTCATTCGGGGCTGTTTGCTTTACGACTTCAAAGTGGGCTTATCACCAGCTGCATCAAGTCGCCGCATATGTCAAGCGTTTGGGGGTAGTGCTGTGGATGAACATACTGCAAGGCCTTGGTTTCAAAAATTCAAGTCGGGAGATTTGTCTCTCCATGATGAGCCTCACAGTGGACGACCACAGGTCTTGAATGACGGAGTCCTGAAGGCGGCCATTGAAGAGGACAGTAGTCTAACGTGTGGTGAACTTGCAAGACAGTTCAACATTTCCGATGAAACAGTTAGACTTCACCTGCACTGCCTAGGTAAGACGTACAAACTGAGCAAGTGGGTTCCGCAGACGCTGTTGGAGGTCCACAAGGGACAACGAGTGACACCCTGCGTATCGCTGCTTTCTTGCCACCATACCGCATCCTTATTCAATCGAGTGCTTACCAGTGATGAAAAGTGTGTTCTGTATGAAACTCCCAAGCATTCCAGACATTGGTTGTCTCCTCAGGATGCTGTCCCTCACACTGCAAGACCGACTATGCACCCAGGCAAGATTATGCTTTGTGTCTGGTGGACAGGTCATCAAGTGGTTCATTATGAACTGCTACCAACGGGCCAAATGGTCATTGGAGACCTATACTCACAGCAATTGAAACGTGTGCAACAGGCATTGCGGCAGAAGGAGCCAGCACTGGTGAGTCTCAAAGGTGTGCTTTTTCTCCATGACAACGCCAGGCCGCATGTTTTAGCATGAAAGTGGTCAGGGATACCATACAGCAACTTGGGTGGGAGACTTTGTGCCATCCACCTTATTCACCTGACCTTGCGCCATCCGATTACCACCTCTTCCACTCCCCTGGATAATCATCTTCGTGGGAAATCCTTCACCAATGAAGCAGACTTGCAAAAAAAGCCCTCATGGATTTCTTTGTGTCAAAACCCCCTGAGTTCTACCGCAAGGGCATTGAAAAGCTGGAGACATGTTGGCAGAAGGTGCTCAGTGGCAATTACTTCGAAGACTAAATATAAGTTACACATACTGTGAAGCGTTTTCTTTTTTTCCTTTAAAAACGGACAGAACTTTTTTGGTTACCTTGTAATACAACTTACAAGTATAGTTCATTAATTTATTTGTGGATTCTTATTACAACACTAATCAACAAGGAGGAAAATTTGAAGAACATATTACATTCAGTCACTGGAGCCATCTCTTTTTTTTAATCATTGCTACTTTAGTGAGCTTCCAAATGTAGCATTAATTTTGCAAGGAAATGTTGGTCTCTCAAAAGCTTTATCACATTAAATTTGAAATCAAACAATATCTCTTAATTAGTTTCTAAATATATGTAAAAATAACGCCATCAGGATTATGATTTGTTATGTACCACTAGATTCAGTCAATTATTTTATTACTATGTAGTAATATTATTCTTTATCAACAATTTATGATGAGTGATAATGATACCAAAATGAATTAAAACATCAAATTTAAATAAAAACTACAAAATGTATAAAACAAAGTATAAATTAGACTGTAAAATTTGTTTTGTATCTTGGTAAAATTCCTTTAACTACTTTTATTGAACTCTTCACATTAAATAAATTGTAAATTCATGCAAAATATTTATTTCTGCAGTAAAATAAAGAGAAATATTTTTAAAAAAGAGGTTGTTTGCAAAAAAAAAAGTCAACAACAAACTTTGGATTTAAACTGTAACTGATATCTTTGTTTTTGCAGAAGGATCAATTATTTTAATTTTAAATGTTCAGGTTATATAAATGACTGCATATCTAAATGTATGCATTTTCTTCTCTCATCAAATTAACAGAAAACAAATTCTGTATGTATGGGTAACTAATCTCATTAAAATTAAACTTTTTAAAAACATTGCTTATCCTAACCATGTTTTGATTGTAAAGTCATTTTTCTTTTCTCTTGAAATGTTCTCCAGATATCTTAGTGCTTTATGAAACTAATTTAAACTCTTCTATTTCTACTAATGTATTTTCTGTTCTAGACTATCTTCCTCTTTGCTGAATAGATTCTAGGATACATATTCATGGCCTTGGCATAGACATATGGGAAAAATCTTCCATTGGCAAAAGAATTGTCTCTTGAGTCATTGGATAATTCTTTCACATACTTTCAACTTTCTTTATTGCACTCTGTTAGCTATCTCTTTTTCATTTATTGCTCCCATTTTTCTCAAGACTATGACATATATATATATATATATATATATATATATGCGTGTGTGTGTATGTGACAGTATTGAAATGGCTTTCTTGTTTTCAGCTAATAAAGCAGAATACTTTGCTTATAATTCCAATTCTACTTTTTAATAATCTGAAGTATCTTTGCCTGACTTTCTAATTAGAATTGTGTCTCTACTGTGTAATTTGCATATAACTCCATCCATGATGTCTGAATCCCCCACAAAGCATGTGAACTTGATAGCATCCCTACAATAGTCCTAAAGAAATGTGTTCGTGAAATGGTTCCTGTTCTCTTTAAACTCTCCAACTGTAGCTTACTGCTTCTTGATTTCCTGCTTGTTGGAATACCTCTTCTGTAGTTCCTGAGGTGAACTCTCTGATTCTTCTATCACCCTATTAGAACTTTGCCTAATTTTGGTAAAGTCCTAGAGGTTCTAATTAACTCTGAATTGTTTGAGCATCTCATCTCACAGTGTATTTTTTCAGACAGAAAATATGGCTTTCACTTCTCAAGTTGAACAACTGATATGATAATGCTTATTACTGAAAAAGTCTTTATATAAAAATGGTGAAGCTTGGGTTTTTGCCTTAGATATCTCAAAGGCATTTGATAAGGTTTAGCATGCAGGTCTTCTTCACAAGTTGAAGGGTTATGGTATTTCTGGGCAAATTTTTGATTTGATTCAATTTTTCTTATCAAATTGCAAAATGAAAGTTATCTTGAATGGCCACTCTTCTAGATCACTTTACATTAATGCAGGCATACCCAAGGCCTCTATCCCTGGACCTACTTTGTTTCTAATTTTTATCAATGACCTTTCTGATGTCATCAGGTCTTGACTTGGTATATATACTGATAACACAACTATTTACTCCTGTTAATATTAAATCTGATAGGTTTGATATGGTCAAATTGGTAGCTGATCTAAAAAATAACCTTCAATCTGTTGTTAATTCAGGCAAGAAATAGCTAGTAAATTTGAAGGCCTCCAAAATTAACCTACTCTATTTTTATCATCTTAAAGATACTTTTTTTGCTTTCCATCAGCATGGCTGATGCTAACTTCCAGGAGAGTGATTCATTGTACCTTGAGCTAATGTTTTCCACTGATATGAAGTGGAATGATTATATTGAATCACTTGCTAAGTCTGCTGCTAGGAAAGTTGGTTCACTGTGTTATGCTAAACAATTTTTCTCATCAGAATGTATCTTACACTTGATATGTTTACCATTGGTTCTTGTATTAAACAGTGCTGTCACATCTTGTCTGGTGCTTCTAAGTATCTAAAGATTCTTGACAAAATCTAAAGAATAGTCTACAATGTTTATTGCTCCTGACCTGGCATCAGTCACTTTCCCACCATCATAATGTTCCTTCCCTGTACCTTTTCTATAAATATTTTCATGGTAACTTTTCTGATGAGCTTTCTTCTTTGGTACCTCAACTTTATGAATTTACATGCAGTACTAAATTGGAAGCTAGATCTCATATTTTTATAGTTGAAATTGCTAGATGCCACTGTAAGTTATATGCTCACAGTTTTATTTCTCACACTACTTGCTTGTAGAATGCTCTTCCTGCTTCTTGCTTTCCAGTCAACTTTGACCTTCAGAAATTTAAATGCAATGTCAATCATCATCATCTGTCTTCTTGAATCATGTTTTTATTGTCCTCTCTCCTTAATGATGATTTTTCTTTCACACTCAGTAACCCTTTGCATCTTAGTAGCTTTATTGTCATGCTTGGGGTGAAATTATTAAAGAAAGATTATTACATATATTCAGTAGTTTTCTTTACTCTAAGTTATATTTCTTTACTTTTTCTCCTTTTTTTTAATAGGGCTGATCCGAGATATGACAGGGACATATGAAGTAACATTCTTTACAGCAGGGTCTGTCAGTATGGTGGCTGCTGTAGTCACAAGTACCATGTATATTATCTTTTTCACAAACTTCTGCAAATTTTCAAAGAAAAAATCAGATGCAAACACTTAGCAGTTATTAAAGGTAAGCTTACAATTTAATGTCTCATTTTTTAAAAATCTGTTGGTGACATTTAAGAAACCCTTTAATTTTTAAAGACAAAAATTGTTAGGAAAAAATAAAAAAATTATCTATTAAAATATGACTGATTTCATTCAATATTTTTAAAATATACTGAATTTCTTAAATTGAATGAGCCACATATATTTTAGTGAATTACAGTTTATAAATTTTAAACAAGGTTTATAAATTGAGACTATTCAGCTCTGTATATTTGTATAGTGATTTTAAAGAAAGAAAATAAAATGCAAGTTGTTATTGTAAGCTATCTCAGAGATTTTGTAGAGATAAAAAAAAAAGTTTTCATTTAAAGATAATAAAATATTTGTGATAAGCAAAAATGGCTATGCTTATCTAAAATATTAGTTTACAAACACATGCTCTCTAAAATTGGAAAAGTCTAACTAGCAAAAGATATATTATAGTGATCCAATCAAAGTACTCAAGATGGTGATGATTGGTCACATAATAATCCTAAAGTAGAAAACAACTTGGAATGTTGTTAATATCTGTTGTATATACAAACTGTTAAAGTAAAGATATATTTAATATTTTTTAATTTAATTAAAATTTTTTGAAGGTAATGTTTCTTTGAAACTAAATAGATTTCTTTAAATATACAAGCTTGAATAAAAGTTTGTAGCCTTTTGTATAATTTTGAAAAACATATTGAACTCAACAACTCAGTATATTACAATATAATTGTAATATAATCTGTCAAAAATTACAGAGAAAAGTGTTTTTTTATATATAAAATGCAAAGCTCTATTTGTTATTGTAGAAATATAGTAAATTAAGAAACATTATTTAAAATTTGCTTTCTGCAAAGTTTTGGGGAATTATTTGTTTTGTTTTCTGTTTTTCCTTTTAAAATCGTGACTAAAATGTATTTTTTCATTTCATAATATATACAATTAAAAATATCATTATTTTTCTTTTTTTTAAAAAAAATATATGAATTTATAAATCCAGGTCATTAAAAATGTAATAAAGAAGTAAAAAGAAAGTAGAAAAATTTAGTTGATCCAGTCTACATGGCTGAGGAATAAAGGCTTATCACATAATTTTGAATCTTAGGTAAAATCTAAGTAGTGAATGACTGTATATATCTCCTTGAAGGAAGCTTATTAATTTTGTGGATTGTCTTAATGATTAATGTTTCAAAACATAATTAATACAAACATGTTAATAATTTGTTTTTTGTTTTCAGGTTCATAACGGACATACACTGCTAGTAAAGGGGAAATATATACCAAATCCAGATTATTTTTTTTAATTTACTTAGCGGAGGATATGAACATTTTAAAAAATTATAAGCAGAACTTGCAATTATTTTTTGTAAACACAAATAGAAAATTAATTTGTACAGAGTTGCATACCTATTTTTAAGGCATTTATTATCATATATATATATATATATATATATAAAAAAAATTTTTAATATTGTGGACACAGAACTATAATTTGTCTGTTCCTCTGCATTGGGTGCTTGTGGACATTAAATAAATGAATTATGAATTCTCTACCGATACATTCATTGTTCAGAGATTATTTTAGACATAATTTTTAACATTTTACATAACCATTTGCTACAAAAGATTTCATTTGCAACAGATATTCATGGATTAAAAAAAAGAAGCCAATTATTCTCTTTTGCTATATTTCAAAAAGAATGTTTTAATGAAAACAGAATGTATTGTAACAGCAAAGCATAATTGATTTGGCTGAGGTTTTTGGCTAGCCTTTTAAAATTGAAACTCATTATTTACAATGTTTAGTCTGGTACAACATCAAATAGTGTTGCAGCAGTTGTTCAGTTAAGGAGAGTCTACCTGCCCTTGAAAATATGCATTTGAAATTATGGCTTTTATTGATGTAAGAAATATGCAACTGTCTCAGCCTCAAAGCAGACAGACATATATATATATAGAGAGAGAGAGATTCATTACATTGATTAATATTTCTATTTTGATATCTATCTCAGATTAAATGAGGTGCCTGAATACACTGATCTAATTGAAGTTAATTGATACTCCTTATTTTTTTAGTCTTACTTTTTTCATTCAATTTTTGCCCATCCTGTATTGTTTGAAAAGATTTTTTATTGTGCAAAGTAAAACCTACATTCTAAATTGACAAATTGCCTGCATTAATGAAATAAGATCCAAATTTCCAACACTTTCTTTGTCTTTCCTGAATTTATTGTTTTTAAAGATTTAGAAAAATATTCTATTTTTAAAATTACTTTCTTTTAAAACAAGCTTACTTGTAAATTCGGGCTGTTTATAAGAATGTTGTTTTTAATTCTATACATATTTTATTTATTTAAAAACTGTAAACATAATTTCGGGACAGTAAAACATATTTTCATTTGCTACTGTATGTAAAACCTATTGAGAAATAGCACTGTTATAAAAAAAATAATCAATTGTATTTATTAAATGAAAAATATTGCCACTGAATTATGGCTATTAATCTTGACATCTTCAGTTTTTGTTTTTCTGATCCATTGACACACAAGGTAAAAGTTGTTACCAACAATGATCAAAACCATCCAAAATTCCATATGTTAGATATGTTAGGTAACTTTTCCAAAGTTTCATCTTTTTAGTTTGGTTAATTTAAACTGCATGACTTTGTTGATCAATGTTTCTAATATTATTTGTTAATAAATAATAATTGTTGGTGTGAGTTGCTTGTAGCATGAATTTTAGGTTTGACGCCAGAGATGTCTACAAAGAATTCTTTCACTGTTCTTAACTGAAAAGAAATTGACTTTAGCAATCAGGTTTGTAATTGTAAATCCTGCATTTCTTCAGAATGCCATCAGACATCTTGGTAACATTTAAGATTTTGGGTTAACTGCTCAAAAAAAATTTTTAGATTGCATCAGTATTTATGAGGCTCATAACCAAAATTTACACAAGACAGATTTTATTATCTTGGATCAGGCTGGTTAGCATGAGTATCTATATCTAAGAAGTGCACATATTAAAAAAAGAAGTCTGAATTGTAAAGCCTACTTTGAAAATATTACTCTTTCATATCTGAACAATCCATTCATTTTAGTTGTATAACATTTCCATGATATTCCATTTCCATAAGATATTCTATTTTTGTGACAAATTCTCTGGTAGAAAGAAATTAAAAATTGCCTTTTTTTCTATTACATATATTTACAAATTTTGGGTTTTATACTCTGAAACTTCAGTAAAAATTAGTTCATGGATGCAAATCCATGATTAATAATTTACCTGTGGACATAAGAATGCTGACTAAACAAAAGCTGCATTGAAATTAGTTTATAATTGCATGAAAAGATGCAAAACTACATTTGAAGCCAAGGTTATTTTTAAAGTTAAAGACTGAGTGACAAATTTTACAAAAGTTTTTTTTTTATAGATTTATTTCTTGGCTCTTTAAAATTCCATTAAATATTAAAACAAAAAAAAAAAATCACCAAGAAGTGCTTATCGTGTCTATGAAACATGACCGTGTTCCTCCCTGGGTGCCTCAGAGAACATACTTACTAGATTATCAAAATTAGCAAATGGAAATATTCAAAATAAGTTAATAAACATTAGCTAAAGAAAATTGTTACTGAAATAGTTCTAAATATTTTTTTTATTTTTTTTTTTTTTTTTACACACTTATGCTTTACAAGATATTAAATGTTTATATTTCATTTTTTTAAATTTCCTTTGAATTAATATTAATTAATTTTCTACTCTTTTTATAAATAGAAAGTTGGCCAGGTTTTATACAAAAAGATGCATTCCAAAAGGTTTTAAAGGCAATGATGTGTAAGAAAAGGGGAGAAAACAATACTAGAATTATATTAACTTTTTTTTATATGTACCTAAATACAAAGAATAAAAGAGAAAAAGAAATTAATCAATTGAGCTTAGGCAAAATACAAATTTCTCCTTCCTCACTTGATGTCTTCTGTTCAAAATCTGTTTTCACTATTTAAATGGTTTCAAATACTTTATAAAAGTTGATTAGAATTTCATAAGATAGGATTAAAGTTTTTGAAGTTTATATATCCATAAAACTTGCAGGAATTATAAGGTGCCTTCAATGGACTTTAAAAGGGATCAGTTTATAATTATCTAGCCAAGTGAATTACATTTCAGATTTCTATTCAGTATTAGAAAAAGATTTATGACAAATTGATGAGGTGAAGTAGAAGCAAACTTGTATGCATTTTTATTGGCAAACTATTTGCTGAAAGGTAAAGATTTAAATATCAAAAACAACTGTCAGTATTTTCTAACGGGCTCATTGCTAAATTAAAAAAAAATCCTGCACTCTTTAATAAATTTGCTGTGGTTGGAAAGTACATATACAGATAGCAGTGGATGCTGAAATTTTCTTTGCTAACTCCACTTGCCTCTAGTCAGTACTTCAAAGGAAAACATCAAAATACTGCTTGGTGGAGTGGGTCAAGCTGAAACCTTTTTTTTTATAAGTAATTTAAACTGATTTGATTGCTTTCACCAAGATAACAACATGCATTTACTGCTTTATGTTTCAAGCAAGCTATATTAGCTGTAGATTTGCTGTCATTAGATAATCTTGATAGCAGCAGATTTAATATAGTGATATTTAAATTTGGTGGGATTCTTTGAATGCAAGGTGAAACTAAAAACCTGCATTTTAAAACAATTTCAAGTTGAAAACAACTTGATAAATTCAATTTGGAGATATCCACTAAAAATATTTTCTATACAGCTATGCTTTAATATTGTAGTGGTTTGGAAATTTAATTTTATTAAAATGTAAAGATGAATTATAAGAATTTCAATGTTGTTTGAATTTCTTAAAGTGAAAATTAATGAAAATGCTATCTTGCATTTACAGATTGTTGTTGACTGACAACCACGATTAGTTATGACCTGTCGGTTGTAAATTGATCTGATCGTAAGTTAGCCTGTAATTAATTTTGCATTTTTTTTATCTTTCTTTAGGCATTATTGTATTTTTTATAATTAGTTTTTTTTTCTTTTTTACATTTAACACCACTTGTTATCTCTGTATGCAGTTTTTTATTTTTACATTTGTCAGGTTTAAGTCAAACACTCTACTACAGTTAGTTTAATATTTGTCAAAAACAAAATATAGGTGTAAAAAGAAAACATAATTGCAATACATACAAAGCATCCCTAGTAGCTGCTGATGCTTTGTTGTAGATTGTCAATGTTGTCACCTGGAGCAGGGTTCTGGGTAGCTAGTGAAGTCTTTTTTTTTTTTTTTTTTATATACAAACATGGTGAACTTTGAATTGTTTGTTTCTTTTTCTCATCTGCACTTGCTGTTTCTCCAGTCACTCAAAAGTTATGAATATGGAATTATTTTTTGAATTGACTAGCGTTTGCTACAAATTATTGACTCTGGTGCACTCCTTCAAAGTCTAAAAATAATTTCTAGCTTTTGTCGGCATAGTAAAAATGTTCAGTGGAACTTTTTTTTTGGACCCGATTTTCATCCACATATACAGAAATTTCTCCATTTCGTGGCTAGAATGGTCTGTTGCTTCATAACTTGATTGCATGGATGCAGAACCTTTTTCAGTTTTACAAATTCTTTCTCCTTCCTTCAGAATCATTGACCCAGTAGTGTGATAACTTCAAATCACATTCCCTCCACCGTACTATTTAATCACCATCATTTTTGCGTCAATATCAATCAATAGGCTTTCTTTTCTCCTTGGCAGGTTGAGAAGTAGACAAAGACAATTACCTCTTGGTAGACATCTTGAGGGGGATTTTGAAAAAAATTTTTAAAGACTTAAGTGGACTCTGGGTGTTGTACCAAAGCTGACCTAATACTGAGCTAGAGGCACATAATGATATGCTAATGCTACTGGGATAAAAATTTTTGTACACCAATTTGGGAAAACACTCATACTACCAGATGCAGAGCAATCTGGACCAGGCATACCAATTTGCTGTTTGTGGTTGTAAAGTTGAGCAATTGTAAATCAACAACGAACTTTATTTTTATTGCAATGATGATCAGGTTGTTTTAAGTTCTAAAATATAATTAAACAACACAGATTAGAAGTAAAGTTGCCTCCAATGCATTGAACAAAGAGTTCTTATAAAATCAAAGATAATATATTCATAAGTAATATTAAAATGAATTATAATAAAAACAAATTTAAACAGAGGTTAAATTTGTACTTAAAAAGGTTTCAACAAATTTCAGCAAATTTCTAGAATGGGTTTGTTTATTATGAGTTCTAGCAAGTGCCTCTTAATAGCAGCAGGCACAGACAATAGCCAATTAAAATTGACACTATTAAGAATCACTGCAAACTTCTAGGTAAAGTTTTTAGGTACCAAACTGTAACAAGAAATGGTAACAAATGTGTCCTGAATTTTCTATTGAAACAAACTATCTAGATTTGTAAATACTTATAAACTTTCACAACATTTAATATAATTGAAATTGACAAAGTTATTAGTAAAAATGCCATACATGCATTTTCTGTATTATATTTCAAGCAAACTATATTAGCTGTAGATTTGCCATCATTGAATAATAGAATAATCCTGGTAGCAGTAGACTTAATAGTATTAATTTTTTTTGTGGAGAATAAAAAAAGAAACTTCAAACCAATTTGTAATTTTAAAAAATTATGTTATTAAACAGTGTGTGTATATAACCGAAAAAAATAATTTTCTATGTAATTAAAGGCAGCAGTGAGAAATGCAAGACAAAAACACACCTCAACCATAAAAATTTGTAAGGGAGACTATATTTTTTTTTTTTTTTTTTTTATAAATCTTACCAAAAATATGATATGAAGAATTCTAAATGTAACCGTAAAGATTCAAATGTAATCATTTCCATATATAATTTTAAAGTTCACACTGAATATTTGTTTTGTTAAATAAATTGTGTGTGACATGAAATGATAAAACATGATAGGAACTGTCTCTTGGTTCTTTTTAGCCTAAACTTAATGTTGATAAAACCATCAACTTATTCAACATACAAAAAGAAATTAGCCAAGTGAGTTTAGTTGAATGTCTAGACTGGATTGGTGAATATATTTTTGTGCAGAGAGAAAGAGAGAGAGATATGCAGGTTGAAAATGAGAGTTGTTGGTATCTTTGCATGAAAATGACTAAACTCAAGACAAGAGCTCGAGATAATTAGAAAGCAAATGAACTTACTTTAACATATTTGGTTGTTTGCCTTTAGTCAAAATTTTTTTTCTTTTTATTTCTGACAAAAGTATTTTCTGTATTTGTTGACACAATAAATGATTACAAAACAAGTTTTGTTTCTTTTCCTTTAATTACTCCAATTTTCAGTCATCTTGGATAATGTTTGAATTTGAAAAAAAGGGTTTTCTTCATGATTTTCTTCATGATTTAAGTCTCTCAGTCATGAGAGAAAGAAATCATCCTGTCTTCAAGTTAGGATGAACATGGATTCTCAGTATTATTCTAGTCAATCAAACTGCTTACTCCTTTAATTCAATTAAATAAGTCTGCGTTTTTAAATAATTTAAAATTTTTTATTAATTTCATTCAAACTTCTATCACTCACATGCATAAACAAAATAAATTTTCATTTATTCATATGCAAACTTTTATAACAAATAAAAGAAAAATTTAAAAAGTGTTTATTTACCTCAAAGTAATATTTAATTTTTTTTCCAATGATTTTATATTTTTTATTATATCTGGCAACCTTTGGTTAAATGTTACAGGATTCTGTACAAAAAGTAAAACATTGTATAACTTCTTTTTACATATACAGTTCATACAGACTGTTGCTTTTGCTCTGGGTTCATTTGTAGCTGTCTACACAGGCTTTTTATGTCAAGAGCTACTTGTTTTCTATAACATCATATGGTAGATGACATGTGGCAGAGTCCAATACTTTTATGTGCATGATGGGGGTGCACTTCCAAACTGTCCGTTGATAAGATTTGGTACTTGTATCCCCAGCCAGTAAAGATCCTATGCTGTTCTGCCCAGAAGGAAATAGGGCATCAACACTCACCTCTTTTGGAGCTTGGCGTTGGTAAGCACATTGGATATCAAATTTGTAGACTCCACTGTGATGGAACATTAAGTGACATTCATGACTCAGACTACCTCCTTGAGCCAACTGAAAGATAGAAGCAAAGAAGGAACAAATCTTAGTATTTTAGCTCTTACAAAATTGGATGCAAGAAAATTTAAAAAGTTAAGAAAAATGAATGTAGCTGCAACAACAATGAAAGTCCTTGAAATACCCTGTATGCCAAATCATCTTTTGTTCATAAATCTTTATTAATCATATTACAGACAGGTAAAGAAATAGACACTAGACTGACAGATATTACAGATTGAAAATCTCTCAAAACAAATATAAATGTTAGATTGAGCTTATTGATCTACCCTCTTGAAATTAGAAAAGTTTATTAGCTGATAATTCATATCATCAGTTATTAAAATTTTTTAGCTATAAGTAACACTTTATTTATAATTGGAAAGAATGCTTGTTCATTATATACAACCAAAAAACTTTGTGTTGAGATCTCAAATTTGATATGCATGCATACTTATTGAACTCAGGAAAGGCATTGTCTATCATAGAGAAAGAGGATGTCAACACTTCATTTCTATGGATTTTATAACCATTTCTCTCATTAATATCTTGATATAAAAAATATTTGTGTGCTTTGAAAGAAGAAAAAATTTCAAAGATATTTTTTGCCAAAGATGTATCTTCTATTATTCATAGTATTCTTTATTGCAAATTTAGCAGGAACAAAATGTAATATCTTGTCTTTTACAATACTAATTGCTACTGGAAGTTACTGTACATGACTTGTCAAAATAATCACAAAGTAACAATTGATAAAGATTGTAAAATAGAAATTTCCATTTCTTAGTTATACATTTCATTTTGGTATGAGATGTTGGATGACTTCTTACCAGCTGAGTTCATCACACAGCTGTTTGAGGTTTCCACTAAACTTAAATAAAGTCAATTCAGGTTTGCTATGATAAAAATTTTCTACCCAAGTAAAAATCATTACAAAAATAGCAAAAGTTATTTTGTCACAGCTTATTTTCTCTGAAAAATGGATTTTCATACTTTTATAGGGGTAGAATATTGAAAAATGTCCGTTTTGTCTTCATCTAAACAAATATCAAGGAAACTTTTGATCTGAACCCCATGAAACTAGGTATTTTCTGAAAGCAAAGGATATATTCTTTTATTTAAAAGTAAAATTGACTGGTGTAAATCACTCAAAAATTTTTTCCAGGGGTAAAATGTGAACAAATAGTGAAAATTTTGCATTTTTTCTAAACTGTTCAAAACAAAAAAATTTTCCCCATTAATGGGAAGTTAAGCATTTTTTTTTTGAAAATCAGAAAGCTTAAATTATAATCAAACTATTTCAGGCATAAAATTGAGAGTTTTGAAGGAAATCAACATTCCTAGGGGGTCAAAATGCGACAAAGTCCATTGGTAATTTTCAATAATGTGACTGCCAGTAATTAAAAAAATTGACACCCAGCCACAGAAGTTTTTAGTAAAAGGCGAAAAATTTATCTGCAATTCCTGACCACCAGAAACCAAAAGTTTTTGTTTTTTTTCTTTTTTTCAAAAAAATAGCAGCGATTAAGAAAATTAAGCCAAATTGACTTTGACATATCTGGGTCAAAGGTCAGCCAGCCAGCAATAAACATTTAGAACAAGCTGTATCATCAGCTTGTAATAAAACCCACCACTCCCAGATAAGAGCAAATTGGTAGGGCTTGATATAAGGTTTGTTTTTTTTTTTTTTTTTCAAACCTATGTTTGAACAATGGTTTGATAGGTTTTGTTTTGTTTTTAACACCCAGGTAATGACAACAACATTTCGCAGATGACATTGTTTTTTTCCGCTGAATGTCTTTCGTATTTCCCATCACTGGGCCATTTAGCTGATGCTCACACCAACTTAAGGAGAAAGGGATAAAGTTTGAATGATATTATTTTGAAGTGAAAATAAATATTTTTTCATTTTTAAAAAAAAAAAAAAAAGGTAATTTTTCTCAGAAAATCAAGTATAATTTCTTAATTACCAGTGAATAATTTCATGTGCAAACAATAGCCATCTGGATCCTATAACATTGCCCAAAAAGGTCCAGAAGTTTACTGATCGATCAAAAACTTGTTGCACATAATTGTGTTTTTCACAGTCAGTTTCCATTATTTAATGTTGATGCTGTCATTTTCTGACAATTAAGTCATCAAGGATTCAGGAAAACAGTTCGGCACAGGTTTGCTTTAAGAACTTTACATTCTATGAAGTGTTTAAAATGTTACTGATGAATGGGATTTTCCCCCGAATATTTCGTTTATGTGCCATGTTGGATTTTCCTATATGAGAAAAACAAGGGTTTTAAACAGCCATAATCATTGCAGAATGAAGGAATTGTTCTACAGTTTTTCTTACCAGCTCCTAACCACTATCTTATCTGCAATAGATGAGCATTTCAGCTAATACGCAAACAATATATAAGCACTGATTTCAGAGAATACTAAAAAATATTAATAATCTTATGTCCAAAGATATTTTTACTAAATACAAGACCTCATAATCTGGAGATGAAAGCTGCAGATAGGAAAGTGTGTGTATATATATATATATATATATATATATATATATATATATATATATATATATATAAGTAATTTTTGGAAATATAATTTGTTTTGAGATCCTGTTGTATTGTTAAAATAAGCCAATATAATGTCAATGATAAGCAAAACTTGATATTGTATAATTCATTATGTGAATTTGGGCATAGCATGATGTCTTGGTTATCATCCCTTAAGAAAAAAAAACGGGACCAAGTTGCTAGCAAATGGTGGTGCTTCTCTCAGAGAAAATACACATTATATTTTTTGAAAATACAGACTGTCTTGCACGTTCCATTCATAATATCACCTCTGTTATTAAAATTGTAATACTATTCTCTATCATGTACACAACATGCACTATATTGTATTTACTAAAAGTTTCATTCACTTCCTTATGAAGAAGGTGTAATTCAATAGGAAACCCACTCTTTTGTCCTTAAAATTAAAGATAAGCTCATTTTTTCTGAAGATTTTCATAGAATAAAATTCTGTTATAAAATAATTCACTAACAATCTAATGCCCTTTCTCTTTGTAAGTTTCAAATCTATCTATAATTCTCAAAATATGTGTGAGATTGAATATTGTTTACACGTTTCCACAGTTTTCATTCAATATCAATGAAATTTTTTTTGTTTGATAGATAATTCTTCAGTGCTACTTTTGATTTCAAATTGGCTGGAAAAAAATTACAACTTTGAACATGAAAAATCAAAAAAACTGATTTTTTACACTTTGCGCAAAAATCAAAGGCAAAATTTAATGTCTGTAAGAAACTGTACAGTTAATTTAGAGAGTTGAAATCTAATGCAAAAGATTATTAGAATTATAAAAAAATTTTATTATAAATAAAAATTACTGTATATTTTTATTATGACGGTCCTTGCAAGATTGAAAATGCAAAAACGGTCTTTTTCAGGGTCACCCCCATTCAAATTATTAACGCCACCCCATTTGGAGATGTGCCTCAGTTACACCCAATTGTTGTTACTAATATTGATTTTCAGGTGGACTGACTTTAAACTTAAACTCCTCCAATTGAACAGCAAAAATTCTCAGTAATGAAACACCCAGTCGAAGACGGGTTATACTGCTAGTATTTTATAAAATAAATTTCATAGATGAAACACTTTCTTACTTTGTCTACTTTGAGAGATCGGAGACCAATAATTGAACACTGCTCATCTGCTTCCATCCAAGTGGTCCCACTACCCAAATCCTGGTAGCAACTGATGCTAAGTTCAGCTTGATGAGCATCAACTAAAATTAGAGAAACAATTATTGATTAGTAAGTTTTTTTTTTAAGTTGAGAAATTATATAAGTGTGTAGTTGTGACATTAAAAAATCAGATTTTTAAGTATAAGACTGACTACTAAAAGTTTTCCTCTTAATTTTAAATCAATTTTCATTCTTCTTAATGTGAGAAGTAGCTTGGCTCGAGTTTTGTTCATATTTCTTGCAATCCATTTATTCTATCTATTGTCACTTTGACTATTAAATATCTCCAATGTCTAACCTAACACAATGCGCTTATTTTGAGACAAAGTAAATATTGGAAAGATTTAAGCAAGATGCATAAAGTTGAACCTAACATCTACAGTCAATCAAAACATATTTCCAATTGCTTTTAATTTTCTCACATTCTAATGATAAATGAACAAAGAAATCATTTTGTCTTTATTAGATCTTTACTTCAAAAATTATAAAAAGATAAATGAATCAGTGAATAGTAAAATGTATTGTCTTACCCGAGTCTGTATTAACTAAAGTGATATGGATGTTAATCAGCTCACCAACGGCAACTTGAGGAATGTTAGCAATGTCAAAATATTGAGAATTCACAACTACAGCTAAAAAATAAGACAATTATCAGATAGTTTTAATTTTAAATCAGTAAATTCAAATAATTATGTAAAGGCAGAATTACAATTGAGTTTGAATTTTGATAAGAAAGTGAACTATTTCTCCCTTTACAAATTATCAAAATTATTTTAAGAACTTATTTTGCAGCAAAATGTGTATGTGTAACCTTTTTGCAGGTAACAACTTTTTTAAAAAGTTGATACCTGCAAAAAGGTTACACATTCACATTTTGCTGCAAAATAAGAGGTTAATATTAAAATCATACAAAAATGCTCCTTTTAAAATTCATGTAAAAATATATATAAAAAATATAAAAATTATAGATAGCAAAAATATATTGTAAAAACTGACAAATATGAACCTATTTTCCAAAATCCGATCAAATAGGATTTGTGAAAATCAATGGAAAATAACCAAGATTTGAAATCAGAACTTCTGAACATAATCATAAAAAAATATCTAAACTAAGAAATTATTTCAACTAGCCACTTTGTGGTTTACAAACAATTATTCCATTGTATATTTATAATTTTGAGAGATCTGACGCTAAATATATCAGAGATATTGAAACAGCTGTTTGTAGTAAAAATTGATAGTACATTAACTATAATTATGTATAAAGTTCCACATGGCAGGGTTGTCCTCTTGTAAATGACAAATGACAAATATAAATTTAAAAAAAAAAAAATATATTAGTCAATAATTTTTACTAGATTACCATCAGCAAGAATTCATTGAATACTCCAATTGTAAAATTGTTACTATTTTGAAAACTCTCATACAAATTCACTTTTCCTATTTGTTACTGTTTTATATATTTTTTTCTTTTAGATATAACAGAAAAGTATTATTTACTTACTCCATTTGATGGGACTGAGTTTCATGAGATTGAGTTGAAATGCACTCCATACAACATTCTCCAGAGAGACTTTTCCAGTAGCATTCACAGCTGGCTATGTACAGTTTAGGAGAATCAGCTTTTACAAATTCAATGGCAAAAACAGCAATATAGAAAATATTTTAAAGTGTCCTGCATAAAGATTTTTCATTTCTAAAAGCTTGCATTTTAATGATATTGAAAACAGTGATTTCACATTTTTTTTTTATGTATAATAATTGATAAAATTTTAATAGTGAGTATTTTTATTGGTTCATGAAGCCTAAAATGGTAAATAAAAATGTTTAACTGAATATAATTTTAGATTTAGTGAAATTGTACTAACATTTAAGATATTACATTTTATGCTTAGTTTATAATCAATTCAATTAGACTTTTGCTTATATTCTACATAAATCAACATCAGATATATTGAAGAGTAACAGCTTAAAGAACTTAAGCAAAACAATGGTGAGAAAAGAAATCTGGAAGAATTAAGAAATGGAGAATTAAGCCTCTTACAGTTAAACTTGTCTTTTAAAGAAAGAACATTGTTTTTAATAAAATCTGCTATAATCATATTAGTTAAAGAGAAAAATAGCTATCATACATGATTAGAAGCACAACTATCCATCTACCTACTTTGAAAGATTTTAAGAAATAGATGATTGAAAACTGAAAAGTTCTTGGCCCAAGCCACTTCCTAAATCTAATCAAATGACAAAACATTTGAATTATACCGTCTGAAGTTATTAAGCAAATCATATAAACTTCATTAAACAAATGTCTCAATTCACAAAATTAAATGTACTCAGTCCTGATTAAAATGTTAAGCTTTTTGCATTTTTCAGAGAAAATTATAATGTATACTTTTAATAAGAAATAATTAAGATGGACATTTAAAAAGCAGCAGCAAGATTGTAAAGGATACTGCAGACCACCTAACATCTATGCAATTAGACAAATACATTTTCCAAACATCAACAGGTTCAATGATGATTGGACACAATACTGTGTCATTGTGAGGCAATTTGTTGGCTGCAGGGTTGTCCTCTTGTATTGGCAAATGACATCGAGTGAATGGAATAGCAATTCTGAAATTGGATAAAAAAAACAAATAGTCAATGTATGCCTATCACAGTGATTCTTCACTCTTGAATTAAAGATTTTTCTAAAATTTGGTCAGCAGATGAAGATAAAAGTGTTTAACTGAATATAATTTTAGATTTAGTGAAATTGAGCATAAAAGACAAATATACTTGTACTAACATTTAAGATATTACATTTTATGTCTAGTTTATTGTTGATCATGCCAAACATAGTGTGCTGTAGTTTTATTTATATACAACACAAAGTGAACTTATTAATGGCTTATAAGGTTACTATATTAAGCCAAGTGCTCTGCTTCTTGGCTGAAGAGCTTAGGAGATTTATTTAGCATGTGTTTTCCTAAAAATGCTCATTAAAAAGTAAATAAAAGAAGAAATTACCTTCGGCACTGGGAAGCTTCAATGATAATCTTGCCACCATCATTGTATTGTACTTCTGTCTGGTGGCTAGATTGGTTCATCAAGTCAAATAGCACAAAGCACCGATCATAACTGGATGGAAATCACAAAATTAATTATTTAATACATGAAATTTACATATTTATAAAGAGAAAATAAAATGTTAAATTTCACACACAACAATTTCTCAGCAATAATAGCACCCCTACACACAAGCTGCTAGTGGTCCGCTGGCAGGCTGCCAGTTGCAACGCCAGCAATCCTCTGGTGGCAGCCACTGGTAGGCCTCTAGTGGTCGATGAGTGGTAACATTGCCAAGAAGAACACACTGGCAGTCTGATGGCGGGCCACCAGCAGTAAACACCAGTGGCAGATTGGTGGCTTCCTTGTAGGGACAACATTAACTCAATACCTTCATATATAAAGTATAACTTTTATTAATTAAATCAGTTTATAAGGTAAATATATTTCAGTGATCCCTTTTATTATTTATAATTTTGAATGCATTATCATCAGTTTATTTTTATGCAGTACTCTACTTTCTCATGACTATTACAAGTGTTGTTTTCTATCAATCTGTGAATGCAATATTTACTAATGTTTGTTTTAATGTTAGAATGCTATTAGATTTTATGTGAATTATAACTAATATTTTATATTGTTGCCACTTAACTTTTATATAGACAAATTGTTGTTCATTTCTTCAACCTCATCTGCTCAGGTAACTAAGAGTTACCTGAGCAGATGAGGTTCTCTTTGCCAGAAGAGTGTATTTCTGTTGTTAAAAGTCTAAAAATTATCAACAAATATTTAATGAGAATTAAAGGAAATTAAAAGCAAATCATGTTCGTACCTTCCAGCAGGAATGACATCCCATTTTTGAACAGAAATTGTAGGCAGGATATCAAGCCGAAGAGAAATTGCACACTGGCGACAATAGGAGTGTTCCATGCCAGGCCCCCCACTGTAGCAGACTGTTAGAGTCACTTCCAGAGTCTAAAAAAGACAAATAATAAATTTAAAGGAGTTAAGATTATACAAATTATACTTTTTTTTAGATGATTATATGATTAGAAAACTGACATAACTTTGATAACAATTTAATATACACATAAAATCCAATGTGTGTGTGTGCAAGAAATCATGATTATTCAATGCTAAAATGAATGTTGTTTACTTTAATGTTGAAAATAAAAAAATGCAGAGCAATATAAATTATATCAATATTTTATAAATAGAATACAGTTATAGAATTACTTAAATATTTTTGATGGTATACAGGAAACTAGTTATAATATTGCTTTAAGTAATGTGTATCTAAATCAAAGCAGGAATACAAAGTTCATACAACATTAATGAATATAGTTAATATTCAATAGTATAGATAATAGACATATGATTTGTACCTAGTCAATATAATGTATCAAATCCCAGTATAGAGGGCTAAGTTAGGAAATAATAAAAAATTTAAACTTTATCAAAAATCATTTTATTCTAGCTTATGTTTTCTTAAAAGGCTTTTCATCAGAATATGTTAGGAGATCAAGTTTGCATTGTTAGTGAGAATAAGAATTTTTTTTTTTATATGTAATTAAAATACAATTCTTTTGTTTAATTAGAAATTGATAAATGTTTAGCAGTTTACCTTTCTGGAGTTTGTGTTGTACTTGAGGCCAACACTCGTAGAATGAGAGGATGTAAAAGCAGAAGCTATAAAATGAGAAAGGAAACAATTTACTTTTATTGGACTGACTTCATAGGATTATAATTCAGATATATCTATACATTTATTTAAGGCTTTTTTCTTTTTTACAAGTCATTATAAATTCTGTTAGAAGCATAATGTTGTAATCATATGTTCAATACTGTAGAATAAACATTGCAACTTAAGTAGAATTAAAAAAAAACTTCATTTAAGTCAGAGAAAAGATAAAAAAAACTAGAAAAGAAAAACAGCTTTCTCTCAGAATAAGGCAGTGAAAAACTGTATGAAAAATGTTTGTATTTTGTTTATTTTATGGTGGTTGGTGTATGACAAAATTATTTCACTGTACAAATGAAGTAAGGTTAAAAGATTTCTTTCTAGATTCAGCAATGTAATATCTGAAAAAGAACTGAGGGCAAAAATATAGTTAAACAATAAAGATGGATGCATTATTTGATAAAAATAAATAAGTTAAGCTGTGAGATTGCTTATAACAATCTTATGTTGGAAGTATCAGTTCAATCTTATTGTGATCCATAAGTGTTTTTAATACTTTGAATAGGTTAGGTGACAGCTTAAAAGTTATGATCTACAATAAAATTGTTGGCAAATTTGGGAAAGGACTAATGTTTCTCATTTATAAGTCAGCAACTAAAATTTGTGCTTAAATATGTTTTCTTTTGAAAGAGAAAAGTTTTATACTTGATTTAACAATAGAACATTATATCAAATACAGAAAAGAAAAGAAACCTTCAGAATTGTCAGAATCAGTATAAAAATGGTTATAACCATAGAGACTGATTGGAATGCTGATAGAATCATCAGGTTGCACGGGAAGTTGTGTAGTGATGCCACCTTCATTCCACATCACTATTTTCTTCAAAGCACCTAGAATGGTATGAAAATAATTACAAAACCAAATTTTCAATAAACAATAAATTAGCATTCTGATTTTCAAAAGGTTTTCTTTAATCATTGTTATATTTTATTTCTGTAGTTTTGTTTTGAACAGACATATTATTACTAAGCAAGTTCTTGAATGGTATTTACATATTTTTCTGGTACATCTGATAAATTACAAGCAGTTGAGTGATTAAAGATTATTTTTTCAAAAATGTAGTTTGATCATTGACAGAATAAATGAAAATGGAAACATCAAAAATATGGCGAAAAAATGTTGTTGTTAAACATATGTAATTATGTATAAGGAACTATCATGGGAAAAGGAAGAAAAAACTCCAAGAGGTTACTTGCATGCTATGACTAGTAATAAAATAGACATTCATGGAATGGTAATTTTATGTGAAATAATTTCCAAAGATAACCATTAGTGGTGGTGATTGAGGTTGGAATTTTAGTAGATACAGTGATGTGTAGAGGTTTGGTGATGTCCAAGGCTAACTTCTTGATTGTATGCCTGTAAGACTCAAGTAGGAGGGGGCCTACTCCAGTCTTGCTTATCAAAACACAGATCCACATTCACACTAGTTTGTGGGACTGTAGGGTGCTTGTACAATAAGATTAACAGAGACAATTTAAAATTTCAAAAACTAAATTTTTATTTCATTCTTTGATTGAATGACCTCCCGATATGGATGCTCAGGACCATTGCATCCTCTGCACCCCCTTCTAAATGCTACTGAGCAGATAGTAAGTTTTCTAGAATTATAGATTAAATATTATTAAAAACCTCAGGAAATCATATTCATGACAAACACATTTCAAAGTTTTTTTGTTTTTTTTTTAATTTTACCTAGCAGTTCCACAAAATATTTTTTAATACACAATGGAATATATTTTATCAAATAATTTTGCTACTGCATGTTCTTAACCATTACTTTTAAACAGTTTTACTCCAAATCATTTCTAAAATTCTGATAACAATTTCAGCACTTAAGACTTGCATTAGCTTGAATATCTTAATTCTAAGTTAATATCTGAATTGTACTTACCACGGTATTCAGGTTTGCTCGTAAGACCAAGTTCTAACATCTCAAGCTTCTGATTCCCAAGATTATTGATGGTCAAAACCCAGTTCATGCTGAAAATAAAATGACTAGAATCTGAAAAAATACACACAAGTATCTTGCAGATTGTAACATTAATTATTCATTAATACTAGAAAAAAATAATTTCTGTTTGAATTTCCAGGATGAGGAGTTATTATTTACATTCAGACTATTGTCCTCATCTTTGTTATTATCACAATGTTTTGGATGTTGTACCCTTTGGCATTTTTTTTTTTGCAGGTGTATATAGATTTACAGGGAATTCTGAACTGAACCATTTATTTAATCTTTGTGAGTAGACTGTTCTCATTTCACTGCCGATATCTAGGGATATTGTCTACTTCTTATTTTTAGTACTGCTCAGTGCTCATCAGTTTCCATTAAGTCCTATGGGATAATGGCTGATAGCATTAAAGTATTGGTTCATGAATTTACTGACAGTGATTGTGATTTCAATCCCTGGGTCAGGCAGTGTGTACTTAGTGGAAATGGACAAGCAATAACTGAGCAATATTAAAAATAAGAACAATATCCTTTGACATGGGCAGTGGAACAAGAACAGTCTAACCTGTAGATTCAGTTCAGAATTGATATACACCTAAGGAAGGACAGAGAGCACAATGGCTGAAATGTTGTGATAACAAAGATTAGGACAATACTCTGTATATAAATAATATAAATAGAAAAAATAAATTTATGATTTCTCATTTTTTGAAAGAATGCACAAGAACATTACTAATCTTTCAATAAATATGTTCTATTCAGACCTTTTATATAGGTTAGTAATAAGGGTTTGTTAACAAGCTTGCCTTTTCAATAAGAAACATGTATAACATATCTTGTAGCCCGATAACACCTTTTCACTCTAGATGTTTTAGTTGTTTGTCAAATATATTTACAACTTTAGTGAATGAGTTTCATTTGACTTGGATCTAGAACTTTAAAATCCTTTCTTGTAAATGATTGGATAGTTGAAGAAAAGTGCAAATGATTTGGCACAGGCCTTTCTAAATTTACATAAGAAACTACTTAATTACATTTTCAGATGTGTTTACCACAGCAAAATTTAAAAGATAATCAAACTTACCTCTGTCCAGCATAAAGAACAGTTGTAGCACTAGTAATAATATCCATTCCATCAGGGGTCAGCAATGGGCAGTTAGTGGCCTTAGGCAAAGATGTACTGACATGAATATGAGGTAGTGCAGGAATTACTTCAACTATATGCTGGGTACTGCGCAAATGAGGGATATCCTTTAATTTACAGTGGCTACGAACACCATACACATGACTAATATATCCTGAAAAGGAAAGAAAACCTATGTGATTGTGTTGGATATCAGCTAAAATTCAACTCCTGTTGAGTAAAAGACACTATAATAAATAAATTTAAGAACATACTGTAAAAAAGAAAAAAAAAAGCTTTTCTTATAGGGACTGTAGTAGTGATAAAAGAAAATAAAAAGCTTTTTTTATAGGGACTGTAGAAGTGATAAAAGAAAAAAATCAGTTCAATAAAAGATTGTTTATATTCTTAAGATCATTTTTCATTTTATCTATTTTTAAACAACTGAGAAAAAATTGTATACATGTGAATATTTTAAGAAAAGTCAATGAATGGGAGTAAAAATATTTTGTACAGATATTTTTATCAATTTTATAAATAAAACATGTAAGACACTTTTACTGTATGGATCAATTACAAAAACTAAAAAGTACTAGTATGCAAGACAGGAAGCAGTGTAGCTAAAGAAAAGAATTGTTTCTACAGACAATTACTTTCAACTTAAACTTTTACATAAGTTACTATTTTGTATAAAACCAATTTTCTTCTGAAGGAGTAAACAGCAATAAACATTAAACAGATTGATATGCAGTAATTTTACTATTGCAATTTTTATCACTATACTCTATATAAAAAGCTTTGTACCCACTGTTGATTATCTAAATATAATTTTATAAGAAAAATTGTAATAAAAGTGTTCATTTTAATTAAAATTATGCCTAAATAAATCATCAATAATATTTGACATCAAGTAAGTATATCTTTTTCTTATAAAGCATATAATTATTTTAGGTGATCATATTTTTTACTATAATTTTTGTACTTTTCAAAGAAACTTACAGTACCTGATTTACATTGAACTACAAGTATAATCACCTAATGTTCAATTAGCATGACCCATAACCGCCCCGGATCCTTGCAGGTCAAATCAAATGCAGCCAGCTGCTGAAATCATGCACTCGTCAACATAAATATCATCAATATATGATGAGGTTGCCCATTGAACTGACTAGTCTTTCGACAATGCGGCATCCACAATGGCTTTCATTATGGCTGGTGCAACATTCAACCCGAATGCTTTTATCACTACTCTTGCGACGGAGTTGTTTTTTAATTTAAACATTCTGTCTTCAGCATGTCATGTGAAATACATGGCCTTTTTTTGGGTAAGTAATTTTCTTTTTCGCCATATTTTCCGTTATAGGATACAAGCGACGCACTGTTGCTTGGTTTGATGAGGTAAGTCATCGTTTTCTTCGCTATACACCCCACGATCTCATTATCACAAATCGAACAGCTTGGAGCAGCTCTCTCGAGGTAAGTTGCTGTTTTCTTTGCTATAAAAATATTGAAAAATGACTGTTTTGTCTTCATCTGAACAAATATCAAGGAAACTTTTGATCTGAACCCCATGAAACTAGGTATTTTCTTAAAGCAAAGGATATATTCTTTCCTTTAAAAGTAAAATTGGCTGGTGTAAATGTCAAATAACTCAAAAATTTTTTTCAAGGATTAAAATGTAAAAAAAATAGTGAAAATTTTGCATTTTTTCTAATTCTAAACAAAAATTTTCCCTATTAATGAGAAATTAAGCATTTTTTTTTGGAAAATCAGAAAGCCTAAATTATAATCAAACTATTTCAGGCATAAAATTGAGTTTTGAAGGAAATCAAATCCCCCCCCCAACAAAAAAAAGCAGTAAGGAAAATTAAGCCAAATTGACTTTGACATATCTGGGTCAAAGGTCAGCCAGCCAGCAATAAACATTTAGAACAAGCTGTATTGTCAGCTTGTAATAAAACCCACAACTCCTAGATAAGAGCAAAGAGTGGAAAAAAAAAAAAAAAAAAAAAAAAAGGGGTCAACATTGGTAGGGCTTGATATAAGGCTGTTTTTTTTTTTTTTTTCAAACCTATGTTTGAACAATGGATTGATGTATTTTATTTTGTTTTTAACACCTCGTGACCCGGGTAATGACAACAACATTTAGCAGATGACATTGTTTTCTTGCCATATGTTTTTCATATTTCCTATTGCTGGGCCATGAAGCTGTTCCTTTTATTCACTGATGTTCACACCAACTTAAAAAAAAAAAGGTAATTTTTCTCAGAAAATTGGGCATAATTTCTTAATGCTAACCCCCGAGTGACATTTTTCACAGCCAAATCAAAGATTGATCACCAGTAAATAATTCCATGTCCAAACATTAGCCGTCTGGATTCTATAATGGTGCCTGAAAAGGTCTAGAAATTTACTGATTGATTGAAAATTTGTTGCACATAATTTTGTTTTTTACAGTCAGTTTCCATTATTTCATGTTGATGATGTCATTTTCAGACAATTAAGTCATCAAGGATTCGTGGAAAACAGTTTGGCACAAGTTTGCTTTAAGAACTTTACATTCTATGAGTTGTTTAAAATGTTACTGACGAATGGGATTTTCCCCCGAATATTTTGTTTATGTGCCATGTTGGATTTTCCTATATGACAAAAACAAGTGTTTTAAACAGCTGCGGTGTGCGTATTTCTGTATGTTAATTAAATAATGAAATTTTATCATTTTTTCCAAAGCTGTCATTGCTTGTGACTAAAAAAAAAAAAAAAAAAAAAATAGAAATAACTGTAAGGATCATATACTCCAATTTTGTAACATTTTATATTATATATATATATATATATATATATATATATATATATATATATATATTTATTTTATTTAGTTTATGGTTCAAGTTAGCATTGCAGGTGAAGTGTTGACAAAAAATTAAATGATTTTTTGTTCATAATTATAAAATTAAAAAGAATATAATGTGACTATCAATTAATAAATAATTGATAGTGAATATTTTTTTGTTCTTGGTATTCCCTTATTTGATTTATATTGAACAATAAAAAAAAAAAAAAAAAAAAAAGAAGAAACAAAGTTATTTCATCTGAAGAACTATTTTAATGTTAATGACTCTTTTCAAAACTTCAGGTAATACCAAAATATTTGTTGTTTCCAGAGATACTTATATTTTGGCATGTGATCCATTTATTCTTATTTAGCCTCCTGTTTTTTCTTTTGTTTTTTTACAGGTCTTATATCACCCACCAAAATTTCCAACAGTCTACCATTTTCTGCTCAGTTACCCACCCAACAGTCGAAATTGCCCACTGGTGGGCAATATCACCCAGATTGAGAACCCCTGCTCTAGGCAATTATGAAAATCCGACACGATTAAAAGGGAGATAATTATAAAGGAATTTTTTTCAAGACAATGGATGACTTCAATTCAAAGTTTTAAATCTATAATTAAATTGGATATGACTATTTTATGAATAACAAATATTATAAAAATAATATTAATGAAATATATTTTCAGCTTCACTAATACATATATCAGTTTAGAAAATGACAATTGATTTGGTAGAGCTTTGATAAAAATTTTTTAACACCATCCCTACGAATAAATACCTTAGCAAGCTCTGAAGAATAGAAAACAATCAGTTACAGAACTTTTATTGGATATCAGTTGCTCAATCCTGTTGTAATATCTATCAATATTTCAACGCAACATTCCTTAATTAAAAAAAAAAAAAAAAAAAAAAAAAAAAATCAAGGTTTGGGATTTTAAGATTAATTCTGTTACAAAGAGTTTATTTAAGAAAATAATCTGTTAGAAAACATGTCAAAAACAGATACCATTTGAATATTGCAGATTTCACATGAGATCTGACAGAAATTGACAAGTAGTAAGAGATTCACTGAAAATGCCAACAGGCAAAATTGTAAGCCAAATTTATCCTTGCATAAATGTGGAAATAAGCTTAATTATTCAGTGATTAATATTTCTTGCTCATATCGTGTAAGCAATATTTATCTTCGTTTAGTGAGACAGCTGGCATATGTGCTTTAAAGAAGATTAGGCTATCATTAATTTAGAATTTTTAATTACAGTACTTTCTATTGTCTGTAAAATAGAGCAAAACTGATAATTATGCAATATTATTATTGAATTAAATGTGTAAATAAGATATATATGTTACAAGAGAGATTTTGCAATATGAATAGGAGAATATTACCATAAATGTTGAGGTCTCCAGTTGTTTTGGGAATACCAGACAGTTTAATTAAGTGAGGTCCAGATTCGGCTGGAATGGTCGCATTGGCTGGAAATACATCCATTTCAACACCATCTGTTAGTAAACCCTAAAAAACAAAAACAAAAAAAAATAAAATTTTTTTAATAAAATAACCAACATTATAGTGCTAATCTTTCCAGAATTGCATTTTGGTACATATAGAAATTGTAAACCATAATTTTTATTGGACATGTAAAGTGTATTGCACTTTTTACACTAATTTTCTCATTGACTTTTTTTAATTTCAGAATATAATTGTCATTTTTTTTTTAAATAATCATTTATTCAAAAATACTTTAAAAAATATTTGGTATGCAAAATTTAAAAAAAAATTTATTAACAGTAAAATGACTAATTTTTGAAAATTTTATAATCTAGATATGCTAATTTTTTTCTTGAGAGTTGTCAATTTTATGACTTCTTGCTTACTAAAATATTTTAATTAACTGTGCAAGAATTCATTAACAGCTACTCTATTATTTATCAGGCAACATCCAAGCACCAAATATCAACACCCAACTTTCACAAACCTGTTCAATGGCATGTTGTTTATTACCTGTTTTCATGACTAGAAACTGGTTGTTGTAAACTGTGTGCGTGAGTGAAGAAAGAATGTGAAAAACCTATACAATTGTTTCATTTGGCTTAAAACAAAAAAAATCTGACATTCTTAATTTATTGAAAACTAAATTAGTAGAACAATTTAAATTCTGAATAAATAAAATTCTACATTTATTTTGTGTTGAAATACAGTTACACAAAATAGTTGTCTAAACATTCAGTTAAATTGAAATGTTACTATAACAACTGATCTACTGACACTAATCTTAAACTGCAGTAAAGGTCATTCATTTTCTTCAGACTATGAAGAAACTTTTTTTTATTCTCAGATTAAATAGAATATTTGTGAATACAGATGCATGTCTTTAATTGGTCTTAAAAGTGGTTAAATTTCAGTTATTAGAACTATCATCATCAGCCCTCTGACTAGATGTGGTCATTATGCAGATGAGCATCTGACTCACTGCTTTATTATAACCAAATTATACATATTGATAGCTCGCCAGCTTCAATATTGTGATAATTATCTTTCATCAGAAAATTCATAAAGTTATCAAATCACAGATTGATTTTTACAATAAAAGAAATAAAAATAGAAATTTCTATTCTATTTAGGTAATTTATTTCACTTGTACTTCTTTTGACACATTCTTTTGTAAATTAAAAGTAATGATTAAATCAAACTTGGTCCTTTTATTAAACTCTTAGGAAATATACTGAATTCAGGAGATTTCTTTGACATCAACAGAAATTTATAATTTGCTGAGTGTTATAATGCATTTTATGAAATGCTTACTTGAAATTAATAAGATTTAATAGAAGTACTTGCCAAATTGATTTCATTAGAATATGTAAAAAAAAACTATCTAGTCAAGAGCAACTTGTTTCAATTACTCTTGTCAATGATTTTTTTTTAGGTATAAAACTTTTGACTTTACTAACAATAGAATCAATTCCTGAGATTTCCTTTTTAAACTTACATTTTTCTTCCATTGTTCAACATTTTGTTTCAAATCTCATAATAAACCATGTTTATAATAGTACAACAACTTCATTCTTATGCTTGCTTGATTTCTGTCAATGTTATCCTTGTATTCTTGCAAGCAGACAGTTTTACTATGTTTGAAATTAACAATTATCAAGTTTCCATTTTGCCTTTGTTTTTTTGTTTTTTTACAGTACAATAGATATATTTTTGATTTAATTAAATCTAATAAAATTATAAAATATATAAAATTATTTTTACCATAAAATCATATTCTGTGATTATAGTTTGTTAGAGATAGAAAATTAAAATAAATGTGAATATAAATTTTATACCATTTGTGAAACATTTAGCACATCTGGCATTGGATTATGAACCTCTAAGTGTACTTCACAAACATCTCCAGCAACCCAACAAAAATCTGCAAGAAAAAAAATCCAACATGACTTCGGCCTACTTATATAAAGATAATTTAAAATACAAAAATCATCATGTATCTATAACAGAATGAAGGTTAGCTTGGATAAAATTCAAAATGGTTAAAAATACTTCCTATAGTATGAACATTTTCATTGAATTAATGCTGTTGATATAAGAACTTTAAAAGTCACTAAAGAAAGAAACAATTACATGTCTAGAAATTTAAAAAATACCATGCATTTAAGTTTTTAGTGAAATTTGTTCAAAGGTGAGTGCAGAATTTTACACAATGTCTAAATCATTGAAAAATATTTTCTCAATGGTTTGAAATTTTAATTTTTACTCTTCATTTTAGGAGATTGAAGTTTTTTTTTTAGTTTTTTTATTTCTAACAACAAAAACAACTTATGTGGCATAATCATGAAAATAGTACAAAAATAAATTAATTTTATTAGCAAAACAATCATTTTTGTCTTCAAAATCTCAATAGAAAAATCTATAACAAAGTTTTCCAATTTAGAGAATGTAGCATCTACATTCTCTAAATCAGGAAAATCTATCAATCTAGATTGTAGATTCATGGATTTTTCTCCCATGAATTCATAATAGATTGTTCCAGCTCATCAAAAGTGGAATATTCGGTTTTACCAGTGTACACATTTCTTGCCACCATATTCCAAATATTTTCCATGAAATTGAAACCTGGAATAAAGGCAGGCCACATCATTACAGATGAAAAGTGATTACTGAAATATAAAACAGATCTTTACATAATAGCAAATCATAATATCTTTTGGAAGGATCAAGCTGTGTTCTTGCATCTCCTGGTACTTGAGTGCTGTCAAAGTTCTGTTGACAATAACTCCACCGTTATTGCGGGAGGGCTAGACTATTTTCCTTCGAAGGAAAATAGTCTAGCCACTCCCACAATAACGAATTCTGTAACAGACCGAGCCTAAAAATACACGTAAACCGACAGATAGCTTATTCCTAAAATTTCGCTTGAAGATGAAACGGGACTAAACACCACAATCCAACTTAATTTTAATAATTATTTGGATATTTCGGCTCTCGTTTTTGAAACATGAGAACTCTTATGTAGCGAAGGAATCATATTTTTAAACAAAAAAAATTTATTATAATATAAGCTCTACTTCTTTATAGAGCAGTCTTCTTAAAAATAAAAAAAAAAAATACTAAGGAACCCCAGATTATGCACCCAACGTGTTCTTTTATATTTTCTGCATACCTACGCACTTTATATATATATATATATATATATATATATATATATATATATAGATAGATATAGAGAGAGTATCAAGTCAAAAACTTTTCACTGGAAAAATGATGTCCTTTAATTAAACTTTTAATGTTTTCTGAGGCAATATGTCATCAACTGTCAGTGGTAGTAAATTCAATAAGATTGAGGCACTTTGTTTACCCATATCATATTCTGCAGATCAGTGCTCTTTGAGGATGATTTGTGTCGATTGTGGCTTTTATGAAAACACATTTTTGGCTTAGTTTGCATCAGTGTTACATGAAAGTTACTTGCCAAGATGTAGTGAATGGAACATTTGCTCCACCTGTTTATTGTTGGTGTAATTTTCAAAACACTTTTTGATGGATTTTCTGTAGCATCTCTTACAACTTAACTAATCTGTCACCTCATTTCTCTACTTTGCTATAAGCATCAAGATTCCCAAAAAGTTGTAGAACACAGTGAGAGACCAAGATTTTCTTAAATGCTTTGCAGCATCCAGGGATATCTTTGAGTTTTGCTGGAACTAAGAATGCTATTTCTTCTGATGCAAGAAAGAACTGGCCAACATTTTAAGAGAACTTTTTAGGTAGCTCTTCAGCATTAGAATTACAAAAAAAGCATCAGAATCATAAGTTTTTATCATTGTCAAACACAGACAAGTGAGTTTACAAAATTGAGTTTATATGACTATCAATCAGGGAATAAAACTCTTTATAAACATATCTGCAAATTGCTTACATATACAATAACCATCTGAGCCTAAAACAAGAAATCAGTCATTATCTTCAGTGTTTTTATAATGTCTGGACAGAGTATATTGACAGGACATATGGTTAGTGGTATGGAAAATGGAAACAGTAAGCAATGTTCAAATTCTGGTCATGGGTGTTGCATTCACTTTGCACTGAGGCCCTTGAGGAAGGCATGAAATCATTTGCTACCCTAGCTGAGGGCAAAAGTGAAGTGCAGACAGTGTTCTTTAGCCTAAGTTGGCAACACTGAATTCAAAACTGGAGAAGGTAACACGAATCCATACTTTCCCAAGAACAGTTGTGGCGATTCACACAGTGTGTACAGCTACGATTATGTGCATGTCATTAAGGAGAGCATGATAGTAAAAAATGGAATTACTGATATAAATTAAACTTTGAGTAATATGTACTCAAACATTTTACAAACTTAAAATTGTAGTGGCACTGATGATATTTTTATGAATTTAAGTTCAATTCTTGTGACAAAAATCAAAATAATTACTCTTGTGTCACTGGCAAAGAAAAGGGCTAAGTTAAAAATATAAACTTGGAACAGAACAAAAAAGGGTTAAGTTAAAATGTAACTTGAAACAAGACAACAAGCAGAGACTGGATTGATTGTCCCAAGAAAGATATTGCTGAGAAGGCCATCTGGAGAATGTAAACAGACAGGGGTTGGGGAGGAATTGTGAAAATACATTCAAAGACAGTTGAGAATTTGGAAACAAAGCAGAATTGGAAAAATTAATTAATGACCACTTACTAAAGTGCAGGTTATGAAAACATGTCTCCTGATTGTGAAGAGGTCAATTGTGATATAATATTTGGTAATTTTGGAGACAAAGGAAAAATAGGGGAACTGATTTATTTTGCCTGCCAAAAAAGCAGAAGATGGTAAACAATTCAGGAAATAGAACTTTCTACTTTGGTTGAAGAAATTAAGATAAGGAAAGGAACTTAGAGTCATAGTAAGCCCGAGTTAATGAGATATGGAGATAGCGGTTTCCTTCAACCACTAGTAAATTTCTGATTATAGAGACAAGACGTCAAACTGGGAAAAATGTGATGATGAAAATTAAAGTGATAATTATGATTAATGACCAGAAATTAAGCCCCCCCTTTTGCCCACAAAGTTTAAAAATCAGATTTGTCAAAATGACAACCAAGGTGAAAAGCTTAGGTGAGATACCAAGAGAGATGGAGGAATTGCCTGTGCCCACTGGGAAGCAATGGTATGAGGCATGAATAAGAGAAAGTTCGTTTTAGATGGGCGGATCAGTACCAGCAACCACTGCATATAGGAAAAGGGATCTCTCCCAAATTTGGAGAGAATTAATTTTCCAAAACCAGACAACAAAAAACTCTTGTTGAAAAACTGGGAAAAACCTGGGCCCCCAAACACCATCAGTGCCCATGCCAGTCTTAAGTAAAAATCAATATAAGCAGAACACTGAACGCGACAAAATCAGTTGCATTTGGAGGAGCAGACAACAAGAGATGACAATGCTGCTGAAGTCCACGTGACTTGATGCCAAAGAGAACTTCCTGACTTAAGCCTTAGCTAAAATGAGCAAAATGTCATGATAGAATTCAAAGTGGGAAAGGTTAACTTTCCTGTACAAAGAACAATATAAACCATATTGAAAACTGACCCAAAGAATTTCCTGTCTTCTTTTGTCTGCAAAGAACATGTTTTATTTTTCCTTTGTGATAGAGCGTTGAAATGGTTTGAACCAGTGCTACGATGATTGACAACAACTCAGTCTTTGCCATGATCAAAAAGCACAACATGGACAGAGCAGGGTGCAGACTGGGGCGGGCAATGTTCAATGACCAGTAGCAGTATTGACCAGTATAGGAATTGACCCAGGACCAACCAGGAAGAAGAGAAGAGTATAAATCTCTGAATGTTGTGTGGATTGAATAAAGGCACATACAGAATTATATGTAAAATGCTGTTAGATGTGCAAGGATCACAAAAATAGAAAAACAACTATATAAACACACACTTATGATGCAACAAACAAGCAAACTTTTGTTTTAGTGCTGACAACTAGCAAGCAAAAACATTATTTTGTTATCTTATGTAGTCTTATCTATGTTTTTAGGAAGAAAATGAGTGAAGACAAATGACTTAAGATAACTTACCAACTTTGTTGGATTTGTGCTCCTGATCATCAGTTCCACCAAAGGAGAAAGGAGTATAGATGAAGAGACCTTGTTGATCAAATTCAGAATTGACTGAATCTCCACTTCCCGGAAGTTTCACTGGACGGCAATGGCCTGCCACACTCATCAGCTTAAATGACCTGGGGAGAAGAAAAAAAAATCCAAACAATCAACTCTTTATCTGGAGATAAAAATAATGAATACAAGTTTAATATGTAATTTCATTCTTGTATAATCTATTTTTCAATTTATTTATATTTGAACATTTTTCCTTACATTTACATTATTAAACAAAATTAAAACAAAGTAATGCCAGGAACTAGGATGCCATACAGTATAACGCAATTGCACAGATCTTTATAGATTCTATAAAATAGAATAAACTATGTTGTCAAAGATGATGTTAAAAATTACTCAATAAAAAAGCATAAAGAAGTCATTTTAATTCAGTCAAATATAATAAAAAAATTAAAAGAATACATTTGCATGACTGCAGTAAACTGAAAATATGAATTGTTTTATGATTAATGATTGAAAGAGAAATTATTTCAATGTACAGATATTGCAAGACTGAAAAAAAAAATATTTTAACTATAATACTTGAATGATTTTTATAAGTCACATTCATAAGTACCATACTAGTTTGTTGTGCCTACATCACCTGCTAAATTTATTTACGGGAATAATCATAAAATAAGAAAAACATCTACATGCAGGTAATTCAGTCTGTAAAATGTATTTTTGTCTATTACTAGACAAATCAACAACTTATGCTCTAAAATCAAGACAAAATTCTATTTAAGATTAGGATTCAATTGATTATACTTCATAATAAAAATGTATGAAAAGTTTTAAGTGCACAAGTTTTATATTTCTATTGTTTATCATTTTGGAGTGGCAGTTCTGAAAAATGAATAACCTAGCTATTAATTTATATAAAATCTTAGTTGTCTATTACAACTCAAAAGTACTTGAAAATTTGTATTGGTGTTGCAATTATTATTGAGAAGATTTTTCATTGAAATGTTAATTACTTGACTAAAGGCAACTTTGTCAATGGGACAGGGGGGAATATAATGCCAGTGTCTGTGGCTAAAGGCTGTGGTGTTCCCTCACAGCGGGCAGTGTATGAACTGAGGACACTGGCAACATCTCTCCTCTCCTGGGCACTTAAATGCTCCAGCATTGTGTGTAACAGGAATGTCATATGTCTGAAGAAAGAAACAAAAAAAGACCATTTACAATCCATTAAAACTATGGTAAAGAGTTAAATCAGTTTAATTATAAACTAACAAAAGTTATAGTAATATTAAAAAAAATATTTTTAAAAGGTGAATTTTCATTTTTATCAAAATTTGAAATGATCAAAATAGTTGCTTTTTTTGTCAGTTAACCAGTGAATGAGTGCTGTCTTTTAAAGATGAAAAAAAAAATGAAACAAAAATAACAGGAAGTGAAGATATTCTTTGCTAAAGAAATGGAATAAAAAAAGAAAAAGAAAAGGAAATGAGTTCCAAGTATGTGTTACATAAATGTTTAATTCTTAATATTTTAACCCAGTATAAAAATTAGGGCCAAAACACTATCTCCAATGTTGTGTTATATAAAAAGATATTCCTGCTTAAAAGTTACATTTGAAAGATTACAGAATATTAAAAAAAAAAAAAAAAAAAAAAAATTACCATGCAGTGTTGCTGAAGAGTTCTTGGTTTTGGCCTGCCCAAGAAATCTTTGAAATAAAAATGTTTGGTCAGGTTTTGGGAAGTTTTAGTTTGTATAAACTATTTTGGTTTGGCAATATGTTGGCATTTGTTTATATCATGGTTTTACATGAAAAAAAAATGCTATCCTGAATAACTAAAAGGTAAAAATATTTTCTGGTAGAAATTTGTAATATTTTTAGAAATTATTTTGTTCATTTTATTGAACAACTGTGAAACTATCATATGATTGCAAAAGTTTGAGCCTGATTTTCATGAATATAAATGACCACAACTTGACACAGTTGTTAGTTTTGGTGCTGATTTCTGGCATGTTCTAGTTGTGAGTCAAACTTTGTTGAATGTTGACATTTTGTCCACAAATGAATACCTTAAAGACGGGGGATGAAAAGTTGCATTTTCAACATATTATGCTCTATGACCTTCTGAAAGGAGTAAGCATTGAAACTGCAACAAAAAAAACAAAAAAAACAAAAAACATTCAGAAGATTTATATGAATAGTGTTCTAGCTTTTTGGACAGTCAAAAACTAGTTTGGCAGATTTTGTCAGGGTGATCAACCACATTACTGGCAACTTTCTGACATTGATGAAGATGCTCTGCTTGCTATAATGGAGAATAAACCAGAGATTTCAACCAAAAAGTTGCTAAGAGTTTTAAAATTGATATCTCAACTGCTTTTTACTATTTGAAGAGAATTGGGTTAGCTTCCAAGCTTGGCATGTGGATGCTACATTCTTTGATGAAACAGAACAAGCTGAATTGTATTTCTGCAGCCATTTCTTTGCTGTTACGCAATGAAAAGAAGTTGTACTTGGACAGAATTTTCACAAGCAATGAAAGATGGATCGTTTATGATAGCGTTTGACCAATTTACCAATCCCAATGTAGCTATTCAAGAAAAACAGATGATTTTGACAAATTAAAAAGGTGTCAATTTCAAACGCAAGAATGCATGTTGAAAAATGGACCTTATAAAAGTTTAAAGAGTTGAAGTGGGAAACCCTCCAGCATCCACTGTATTTTCCTCACTAGGCTCCTTCAGAACAATTTAAATGACAAAAGATTTGACTGTACAGTCAGTTGAAAACTACCTCACAACCTTCTACCAACAGGAAAAAAAAAAAAAAAAAAAAAGAAGTTTTCTCTGAAAATGCCATCAACAAGCTTGCAGAACAATGTAAGACAGTTGTTAAAAACAATGGAGATTATGTATTTGATTAATAAATTTTTTTTTTCTGTGAGTATGTAAAATTTTGTTTTTAATTTTCTAATTGGGCAAAACATTTGTCATGGTCTAATAGTATCTCAAAGACTATGGCATAAAACCATCATTATTAGGGTTAGTTTCCTATTTTCTTGATATATACACCATGTGATGTTAAGAAAAAGACTGTTCTTAATGATTTTGTGTAAAAAAACAAAACAAACAAAAAACAATACTATTTATGATTAAAACAATGTTCAAGTTAAAGTTGGGGTGAGTAGTTTAAACAAAAACAAATCTTTGAGAAAATGTAATTTACTGATCACTATCTTTATTCACAATTAAATCAGAGACTTTTCTTTAAAAAAATCATTAATGATGTGTTAATTTTACTGTCCTCAAAAATAAAAATGGGAACAATTTTAAATATGCACAACTACCAAAATTGATGCAGATAATTAGATTTAAAAAAAAAAAATTAGCTTCTTAACCTCTCTTCCTTAACAAAAACTAAAGTTTAATGAAATCAACAGCTATGTTCATACCTATTTCCAATCACTTAATTTATCTCATTTTAAATATAAGTAATTACAGCTATTTCACAGAAATCATTCATAATTGTGATGTATTCAACAATTCTAAACTTGATTAATATAAACAGTAATGTATAAGGTCATTGCTGACTTCTCTTAGAGAAAATGAGCCAACTTAAGGAAAAAAGTTAAGAGAATACTAACTAGTACCTTATTACAATATAAAACTAAATTCTTTGTGTTGCAAAACTGCATTTTCTGTTCTAGATATTCAATTTTATAATACATAGAGTGGCTCTACATGAACAAAAAAATAAGTCTCAATTTTTATGTTAATTATTGCATTAGTATTTACAAACTACACTGTTAAAATGACTTTATTAATAAATGACTTAAAAAATTAACACCCAAAATTATTTTTGATGATGAGGTAATAATGTCAAATGCTAGACATACAAATTATTCTGCTTTTAAATTAATGAATGGGCAGTTACATTAATTGAATAGAAAATAATTTTTTATTGGGTCTTTTGTGCGTTCTCATATCATTTAAATGTAGAAAAAATTCTATTATTATTATTATTCACAAATAATGAGGAAAAAAACTGTAGATTAATGCATAAGAAAATTTACCTTACTGACAACTGAGGATTTCCCATTTTTCTGGCAGAAAAAATAAGTTCTTGTAAAACTCTCATTTGTAAAACAGGCCAACCACAAGGTTTATCTGAAATAAAAATAGAATCAGAATCCTTGATTTTAAATATTTAGTACAGGATCATAATTTTTTATCTTTTGAGTATAATCTTATCATGAAGGACAGAATGCATATTTTATGAATTATATATATATATATATATATATATATATATATATATACATGCATACACACACACATATATATATATATATATATATATATATATATATATATTTTGTATTAAAAAATTCCAAGAGGATAGAATCCAGGGAGAACTCAATGTCCATGACAGAGTAAGGATATAATAAAAAGGCTTAACTAAGTGTTTAAGCCTTTTTATATTATAGGTAACTATACTTGTTTCAAAAAACCTTCGAATTTTTGATTTGCCAATAATCAAATCAATCTCAAGGAAAAAAAAAAGTTTTAAAAAAAAAAGAGCTAGAAACATGAAAGTCTGTCGAAAAAAATCGCACAGATACAGGTTTGAAGCCCAAAGAAAAAAAAGTTTGACATGAGTAAGCTAACTAACAAAAGCTCAATACAAAAAGAGCTCAGATACAACCAGACAAACCTAGACCTAAACGGATCAGACCTTCAGAAAAGACAATGGAATATTTAGTGGGTAAATTATGAAAATAGGAAAAGACAAAAGATTTGAGACAGAGAATTAAAGATTTATAAATTTCACAGTTCCAGACTATTTATTCAGTAGTTTTGGGAAAGAACATCATGTGGTATAGAGTGTCACCATTGTTAATTAACACAAGAGGAAGACAATTTAGTGTTGACTTGAGACAAGAATTATTATTCCAAAAGTTGGTTATATTTCAAACTGGTTATCTATCCCTAGATCTACAGTATAGTCCATTATAAAGAAATTTAAACAGATTGGTATAAGAGAAAATTTGCCTGGACACGGAAAAAAACCCAAATTGTCACTGAGAACTGTGTCAGGAGGTTAATAAAAAAAAGACATCGCCAAATTTTGGATACAATGAGTATCAGCATAACTACTTGCACAATACAATCTTGTTTAAATAGAAATGGGCTGTATGGAAATCGAGCACGACAAACCCCTCTTCAAAAACCAAGTCACATTGTTGCCAAAATGTTCTTGGACAAAGAAAATTGCTTTTGGGAGCAAGTACTATGGAGTGATGAAAAAAAAAATTGAGCATTTTGGACATGATGTTGAGAAGATTTGTTGCAAAAACGGTGAGGCTTTTTTTATTCAAGAACACATTGGCAACATTAAAACATGCAGGTGGCTCGATGATGTTTTGGGGTCAATGGGGACTGGACAATTAATTACAATAAGAGGAATAATGAGATCTGTAGACTATCAAAATTCTGGATGAAAATTTACAACTATCAGCGCAAAATATTCATCTAAGTCGGCAATTTACTTTCTAGCCTGATAATGATCCCAAACATATGTCTGTGTGACTTCAGAAAAAGAAGATTACAGTTTAGCCATTTGCCTTCAATGAGTCCTGACTTGAATCCTATTGAAAATCTATGGCAAGAATTGAAAGTTCGAATAAATCATTAGTCACCAAAAAACTTTCAGTAATTAGAATGTGTAACCATTGAAGAATGGAAGAAAATCCCAGAAAAGACTTGTTCAAATCTCATCAAAAACTTTAGAAAATGATTGCAGCAAGTTATAAAAATAAGAGGCCATGCTATTGACTATTAATATTGTGACAATTGTTCAATTTTGCTATTTTTCTAACCGTATGAATAATTTTCTCATTTCCTATTTTGCATAATTCGCCTGTCAAATTTGTTGTATTTAAGCTATTGTTTTGAAAATTGAGTTTTATATTCCTTTTTTTGTGTTTATTAACATGTAAAAAACTTGGCATCATATGGTAATTAGTTTCTGAGAAATGGATAAAAATATTCAAAATTCATGGGTGTATGAATAATTTTAACGTTGACTGTGTGTGTATATATATATATATATATATATATATATATATATATGAGAGAGAGAGACATAAGAGTGATATAGACAGAAAGTGATGCTATTTCCTTGCCTCCCTGATAATTATAATCTTCAAGAATTTAAATGCAATTGCCAATTCTATTTTGAATCCCATTCAGCTTTTATCCTTTCCTTGGTCCCCCGTCTTTTCTTTCACCTTCACTCTCTGTAAACCCCCGCATACTAGTAGTATTCCCACCTTGCTTGGGGTGAAATGATTAAAAAAGAAAGAAAAAAGATAGATACAGAAGGATATTTTTTTTAAATCTAGTAATTCATGTGTATACTAAAAACTGCAACATTAAATATTTTAAATATATAAATGTCTGAACATAAAGGTGGATTAAAGATTGTATTTTTGTTATATTGTGACATTAGTCTTAGAATTCAACATATTTAATAATAAAAGTAAAATTTACATAGTTAATCACATTTATGTAAAGGATGTTCCAATAACTTGGACCGATTTTAAATTGAATTAAGTTTAAAATTGGTTCAAGTTATTGGAACACCCTGTATAATCACTAATTAGTTAGAAGTGTTATGTTATTTGTGTTTTGCACATTAAGTATTTCCTTCTTTCCTGTAGAGAATTCGTAATGAACACCTTAAATAAAAATCAGTTTATTTAAAGCGTAAATTAAGCCTTACCTGTGGAGAACTCCCGAGGATCAAGTGTGACACCATACCCATCAAGAGCCTGTAATAGAAGAGTATAGCATTGGTACCAACTGGGTTGGGCAACTTGTGGATTTACACACTGCAGGGCAGAAACACGACGGAAAAAGGCTGCTTTGCGATGGAAACCAATCTGGGAGTATAAACTGGCTAGAGTACTGTAGCGTTGGATCTGGAAGGAGATAAGTGTTGAATATGATTATATAATTTACATAATAATTATCAAAAATATAAAATAAATAAAAAGGCAATGTTGGCAAAAAAAAAAAAAAATAAAAAAAAATACGGTTGACCTATAAATATTGGTGAGAACTAAAAGGAGACGGATGATACAATTTTGAATTACAGTAAAACTGAAAGAAGTCATCATTTAATGAATGAACCAGTAAATCAGAAATATTGAAAATTAAAACAAATGAATAGGTGAAAAATAAAATTATGAATCATTCATACAAAACAAAAATACATACAAAAACGATCATCTTGCTTTCTCTTTTCTAATTAATCTTATTATAGCCACAGAAAAGGGCATGAAAACACCAAAGTTTTTTGTTTTATTCTGCTTGTTTTTTATGGTACGCTTTTTTTTTTTTTTAGATAGGATCACAGTACAATATTCCTGGCACTTTCAAGCTAGAAATCTACATAGTAATATTAAATAAAGCAAAAGCTGGAAAATGTGAGGAGACGGAAAAAGAAAATGTAAAGGATGAAAAAAAAAAAAAAAAAAAAAAAAAAGCTAAAGAAAAATAAGAAAACTAGGTGAAAGAAAAAAAATATACATGTATAGTGAGGGGGTAATAAGTAGATAGGAAGTAGATTATTTATTTATTTATTTATTTATTTTTTTTTTTTAACCAGCATATCAACCCCTGTGGGTCACTTAATGCTGAAACTGGATTTTTATTCAGGAATGTTTCAAAACATTTCAAGTGGTTTTGAGGTTTTAAAATTGTTTTCAAAATATCAGAAGTTATATAGTTCGGGAGTATTTCAAAACAATTTGTATCATTCAAAATCCAAGCTTTATTTTCTATAGAAATTAAAAGTGTTTTATTTTCTTTAGATATCCTATTATTTCGGCAGTAGGTACATTTTAGAAGAGCATGTTAAGATTTTGTGCTTGGTAATAGTTGCTTTGTATTTTTTTTGTGCTTCTTACATTCTATCAAGATATGTTTGTGAGAAATTGATTGCAGTGGGTACACCGAGGGCGTGTGTGTGTGTCTGCAGTTCTTATTCTGTTGAGCACTATGTTTTGTCTGCGATCAACTAATGGCTCTATACTATCTTATTGTCAGCTAATATTTATATAGTTTATTGTTTGGGAATTGCTTGACATTTTCTCTTGTGTTGTGTAATTTTGTTTTTATAATCTGTACATAGGAGTTTGATGTTGGTTATTTTCGTTTTTGTTGCTTCTTTTGCCAGTGTGTTGGCTTCATGATTTCCTTTCATGGCTATATAGCTAGGACTCCAGGCCAATATTATCTGTGCTTTATTAAATGATGACAGATTTCTAAGATTTCTTGAATATAGAGATGATTTGTTTTCTTTAATTGCTGTTAAACTAGATAGGGAGCCTGAGAATATTATGAATTTTCTATCATTTTAAATGCCATTTTTATGGCTTGAAGTTCAGCTGTATAGATGGATGCATTATTTGGCAGCCTGGTTTGTTTGTGAATTTGCCTGTTTGTAGCTGCTGCACTTATTCTCTCTAGGATGCTTGATCCATCTGTGTAGAATGTTTTATAGTAAAATATTTGTCTCTTAATTCTCTGTGTATGCTTTTGTTGACTTTCTCTTTTTTTATGTGTCAGTGTCTATGTGAGTTTTGGAGATTGTCCATAGAGGTACCTTATTTATTGTGACTGGTGTTATGTTATCAAGATCTTTATTTGTTCTAGTGCTTCTTTGATTTGAAGTTCAAATGGCTATGGTTTATTTCTAAAGAACTGGATATATTGAGGTTCATGTGTTTTTTGGTATGCTGGGTTACTTGGGTTAAATTGTAGTTTTAGTCCATATTGGAGGGATAATCTTTTCCCCATGCCAGAGATATAGGTGGTTTATTGACTTCTATATACAGACTTTGCATGGGTGAAGTCCAAAAGGCTCCAAAACTTAATCTCAGGGCTTGATTTTGTATGTTTTATAGTTTTTTTTCAAGATAGGATTTACATGCAGCACTGTAAATAATGCATCCATAGTCTAATTTTGATCAGATATGTAACCTATATATTCTGAGCATTACTTTTTGGTTGACACCCCAGTTCAGTTTTGATATTACCTTTAGAAGCTTCAAAGCCTTTGGCATTTTTGCTTAAAGGTAATCAATGTGTGCCTTAAAGTTGAGTTTGCTATCTATTATGATTACTAGATAATTTTTTTCTTGGACTATAGGAATTATGTCACCATTCAATTTTTAAATCATGGTGAGAAGCTTGTTTTTTTCAGAAATGCAAACAGTTTTTGTTTTGGAGAAACTGAATCTATTTTCATTTGTCCATTTTTCTATCTTGTTTGTTTACGTCTTCCAAGGGAAAGCATGTTTGGTGATGAGTATGGTATTGAGAAATCATCTACATAGAGGCATTTTTCAATTCCTGTATTAATGGCTTTAATAATACTATTTATTTTGAGAATAAATAATGAGATTGATAAAATGCTCCCTTGAGGTACACCTGCTTGTGTGTGTCTGATGTTGTATTTCCATTTCTTACTTTGAATGTTTGGTTTGATAGGAAGTTTTGAATTAATATAGCCCTTCTTCCTTTTATTCCCATCTTGGGCATGTCTTTTAGGCTACCATACATACATGTGGTGTCATAGGCTTTTTCAATATTGAAGAATAATACCACATGATGACCTCAAAGAAAGAATTTTAGCTGTACAAGTTGATCAAAGGTTCCTTTGCTTTTCTAGAATCCATTTTGGTAACTAGGTAAGAGATTGTTTCTCTCCAAGTACCACATTAGTTGAGAATTTACCATTCTCTCTATCATCCTGCAAATGCAATTTGTAAGTGCAATGAGTCGGTAATTTGTTAGGTTGGAATGGTCTGTCAGGTTTAAGAATGGGAGTGATGATAGATTCAAACGATAATTTTGGAAATTTGTCTGAACACCATATATCATTAAAGATCTGGAGAAGTATTAAAAGAGATTTTTCTGGCAGGTGTTTTAAAAATTGCTAATGGATTCCATCTGGGCCAGTTGCAGAGTTTTTACTTTTGCTTATGGAGTCTTAGTTCTATCATAGTAAAGAGAATATTGTATTCTTCTTTATTGTTTGAAGTGAACACAAATTTTTCTTGTTCCATAATATTTTTATAATTTTTGAAATTTGGGAGTGTAATGATTTGTTGAGGAATTTCTTTGAAATTCTGTTTCTATTAGGTTAGCTATTTCTTTTTTTCCAGAGCATTTATTTCCATTTTTTTTTTTTGGTTAAATGGACTGCTGCAGTTTGAGATATTTTTCCTTTAATTTTCCTTATTATTTCCCATGTTTTATTTATTGGGGTTTTATTGTTTAATTTAGAGATGTAGTTTTTCCAAGTTTCTCTTTTGGATATTTTTTTTATTATATAGCGTGCTTTTGCTCATGCTTGCTTGTAGTTTTCTAAGTTGATTGTGGTTCGGTTGTGTAAGAATATCTTTAGCATTCCCCCTTTTAACTGCTTCTCTGCATTCTGCTGTGAATCAGGGTTTTGATTTGCTATGTAGTTTAAAAAAAGATTTGGGTATTGTTTGTCTTGCTATTTGTGTTAGTATGTTTGTAAAAGAGACTATTGGTTCTGGTTCATTGAGAATTTCCATGTTGATTTGGGATAAGCAGAGTTCAGTAAATTTTAGCCGGTTAGCTTTGTGTAGTTGTCATTTTGGATTTCTTTCTTCTGCCATAGGCTTGCTTATATTTAGGAAAATAAGCAAATGGTCACTATCATATTGATCATTATGAACTTTCCATTGAAAGTTCATAAAAATTGATGGGGAGCAAATGGCTAGGTTGATGTAGACCCATGTAGGTGTGTGTGCATTTGGTTATTAAGGAGACATAGATCAGATGATTCTAGTAGAGATTCTATATTTTTACCAGTTTGATTGAGGTTCCTACAGCACTAAATTTTGCTGTGTGCATTAAAATCTTCCATTATGAAATGAAGCAGGAAGTTGTCCAATAATCCTCCTTTCTATTTCAGTCTGTGTTTTGGAGGAATATAAATTGAACATATAGTTATTGTTTGATGAATTGAAGCTTTTACTGCCATGATCTGTAGATTTGTATTTAATTGTAGATTTTCATGGGGTATTGATTTTTTTTAACCAATATTGAAGTATCTCCTCTTGGTCTATTCTCTATTGTTGATATATTTATTTTGTGCTAAGTTTCATATCTTTTAAAGGAGATATCAGTTTCTTTGAGAAAGGTCTCCTGTAAACAGACTATATTTGGATTGTAATCCGTAAGGAGGTGTTTGATTTCCTCATAGTTTGGTTTAACACCTCTACAGTTCCATTGTATTATGCTTGTGTTCTGTTTGTCCATTATTTTTATTTTTGTGAGTGGATCTTAAGAATGACTATATTTTTGGTTATCAATTTCCATATATTTCATACATTTTATACTGTTTGTTTTCCTTGTTTGTGAACTTGTTCTTTGTTAAACATTTGTATGTTCTTGATCATTTATGACCTTTTCATTTTATTTTCTTTCTGATTATCTTCATGTGCATTGTCCTGTTTATTTTCGTTTTTGAATTTCAACTTTGTTTTGTATTGAGGTTTGATTGATTTTTGTTCTGTCACTTTTCTGTTTGGGTAATTTTCCATTTGAGAAGTTTTGAGTGTTTTGTAGTTGAGTTGTTGTTAATGAATTTTGTGTTGGATTTACATTGTTTGTGGTTAGTTTTGGTGGTTGTTTCTGAGTTTACAATTGGTTTTAATGTTTTCAATATGTTTTTAATTCTTGAATTAAGAATGTTAGTTTTCTTTTGTTTGATTTTTTTCATGGGTATAGCTTGATGTTGCTTGGGTAATTTTTGCATATGATGGTGTATTGAAGTTTGTTTCAAAGCTTTTCCTTGCTTTTGAAAAAGGTATTTTTTTTGGTATGTTTAATTTTTTTAAATTGTCTTTTTTTCCTGGTTTCACAGTCCCTAGAAATTGACCTATGGTTTTGTTTACAATTAGGACATTTTGTATCATTTGGGCATGTGATCTCAGTGTAATTGGATCATTCTTCCCACATTTTCCACATATTGGCTTCATACATTGATTCTTACCATGTCCATATCTTTGGCAATTGAAACATCACAATGGGTTTGGAATATATGTTTCTAATTTTGAAACTGTATATCCAATTTTTATTTCATGTGGTGGTTCTAGTGCATCAAAAGTAATGATATATGTATTGGTGTCTATAATTTTTGCATTTTTTTTTTTTAATAGATATTCTTCTTATATCTATAATGTTCTGTTTTTTAACAGAATTAGTGTTTTTAATTTCCTCCAGTGTATACAGTGAGAGTTCAGTGATTTTCATTACACCTTTGGAAGAATTTAAATATTTGTGTAGGTAAATCTTTACCTTTATATCATGAAATTTGGTCATTCTTAGTAAAGTTTCAGCATCAGAAAAAAAAAACATACATGTATAGTGAGGGGTAATGGATAGAGAAGAAAGAAAAATATATACATGTATAGTGAGGGGCAATGGGTGGATAGGAGAGAAATATAGGTGGTCTTACTTGGTTGAATATCAAGAGACAATAAGCAAAAGATTGAAAAAGCATAAATAATGTGATAGATTAAAATCATGCATGTACAATGTGCTTGGACAATAGAGCCAAGTGAGCATTTGTTGTTTTTAAGCTCCCTGAATGATTTTCAGCCTTAATCAGGGAATTCTATTAATGTTATTTGTACTTAAGAGGAAGATTAAAACAAAACTTTCACATGTCTAATGAAAAAAAAAATAAGGGTTTAAGTCTAGAAACCCTGATCTGCAATGAAGAACCAAAATCCCTGAAAAGAGTTTAAATTTTGCATTTGACCAATTACATTTTTTGTGAGATGGTTCAGTGCACAAAATGGATTCAGCACCCTAAAACCATAGGGATAGAGGTATTTTCTGATAAATATAAGGAAAGTTATGTTTAAAACGGATATTTGGTGCCCAGCATATGGTGCCAAAAGGGGGTAATGATCAACTTAATGTATGAAAGGAACCGAGTATGTTGTAAATATATTCCCCAAGAAGAATTTTCTTATATTTTGTAGACTTAAATGGTTTTGATATTTTTTTTTTTTTACTTTAGTTCACCCAATACAAGATCCAAGGGACAGACACTCAACAGAGAGGGTTGCTGAGTGAGATTGTTGTAAGAGAGGAGGAAGAAGGTGGTAAGAAGTGCATATTATGATGATAATTAGGATAGATATTAGTTGACCCTGAACAAAGAGGTTAAGATTGTAGTGGTCAGGGAAGCATCCTCTCAGGAGTCTGTTCCACAAAGTAACAGTTCTGGGTAAGAAGCTAACTGAGTGAAACCTACTCCAAAGGCACACAAATGAAATGGGAGGTGATTTACTACTATGAACATGGCATAGCAAGTCCTAGCTGTGAAGGATTGAGCTGAGTGAAAAATTATAAAGGAAACAATAAGAAAATATGGGAAAAAAGTGACAGAAGAGAAAAGGCAGGAGATACTCTTAATTGCAAACTTCCATGGAATTTCCACAGTTAATAAATATGTTTCAATAATCAAAATTTGTATAAAAATCTTTAAATAGCATTCAAAAGACAGTAATGAATTAATTATGATACAACTTTTATGCATTTGATATATTTTATAAGAAATGCAGTCTACAACAATTTCCATTATATTTTTTCTTTTTTGGTGCTACTGTTTCTAATAGCAACAGTTGTTTGCTTTATATGTCCTCTCAGTATATTTTTATCAAGTGTGGTTCACTTCATTTCTTTGGGAGGTTGGGGGGGGTTATTTTTATTATTGTTAAAATTCACAATTATATTATATATATATATATATATATATATATATATATATAAATATACAAACTATACAATAGTAAATAAATATAAAATATTGGTTTAAAAAGGGAAAACAAACTTAATGAAACCCTTTAGATATTTTGAGAAAAGATACATATTGTTCACATTAATATTTAGTTAAAATTCATTTTTTTTAATAACTTTGAATTTTTTCTAATCTTAACTTAAATTTACTTTTCAATCATCCAAAAATTAACTCAACGTTTGTTTAAAATGAAATAATTAGAAAATAACAAAGATACTAATATCTTAAAAAATTATCATAATTGAATGCTGTGTCACTATCATTAAATGATACAATTTTTAAAAAGAATAAAAGATCTTAAAAAAAACTTGAGCATTCAGTGAGTAATGTGACATGCAAAATGTAGAAATTATTAATTTTGGGCAATTGCACCAAACTTACCTTATCTTCATCACTGCTCTGTAAACTAATATAGACCACATTTTGAAGGAAGTCAGAAGCTTGAAGGTATTTCTTTGTGGGGAGGGAGGAAGTAAAAGAAAGAAAACAAATCCATTGATTAGAATCTAATATTTCAAATAGGGATCATTGGTATTGATTGCAAATATCTATTAGTTTGAAAAGAAAGTCCTGTTGCATTTTTGACATGATCGGTTTGAGGATATTTTTTCAATAATTGCAGTAAAACCAACCATTAATTTTTATGTTCAAGTGTTTTTTTTCCTTTGCACATTACTTAATATCAGAGTGGATAAACTTTGTTTCAATTATACCCTTGTTAAAATGAGTTCAGATCAGACTAATATATGCTGTGTTAATTCAAAAAAGGCCACTTCAGCATTGAAAGTGGCAAGAAATATTTAATATGTCTATGAAGCTTTAAGTATCCAGACATGCCAATAATGGCTTGGTCAATTTTGATGGGGAAATTTTTTTCTCTTGAAGATTCATCCCAAGCTGGACAACCAATTTCTGTCAATCAAGTCTGAACTTTTGCAAACTGTAGTTGAGGAAAATCATGAGCAATCTGCATGAGGAATAGCAAAACAATTCAATATAAGATATTTCAATCATAAAACATTTTCATGAACTTTGAAAAGTGTTTAAACTTGGTTAATAGGTTCCTCATCATTTGGATACTTCTTGGCTTAATCAAGGAGTCACCTTCTGCTTATCATTGAAAAGTAAAACTTGCTACTTAACCTATCTTGGGTAGAAATATCACCAGTGATGGAAAGTATGTTCTTTATAGTCATAACAACAATGGTTAGTACTCAGTGAAAATAGAGAATCCATCCTCACCAACCAGGATTATGCTCACCAAAAGTTATGCTGTTTGGTTGGAAAGGAAAGTTATGACAGTATTATGAACTGCTAAAACAAAATTGTCATCAGTTGGTAGTATTCATTGCATAAAAATTTGTAGAGAAAGTGCCTATTATTTGTCAAGTGTAAAGACATGTTGTTCTTACATGATAATACAAGACCACATATTTCTGAATCACTCTGGAAAAAGGTTGTGGAACTAAATATGACAGTTTTTTTCCTTATCCTCCTTACTCTTCTGACCTGGGTCCATCTATCATTTTTTCAGATCATTGCAACAATTTTTAGAAGGAAAATGGTTTAATTGTGAAGAGATTAAAACTGAATTATTTTGCATTGAAACCTGAAGAATTTTATGTCTGTGAGATCAACAAATTGCCAAATAAATGCGATTAGGTTATTGGTAATTAGGGGAAATATCTCAATTAAATATGTCAATTAAAACCAAAAAGTATTTATTTCTTTCCCATTTTCAAATGCAACAGGATTTTCTTTCCAACCAAATACAATTCATGCATACATTTGGTTTCATAATGTTAACTATAATAGCAATTTATTGCTATTCTGTTTAGGAAATGATGAATAGTATAAATATTCATTTACTTTCTCATGTCTTCTAAATTAAAATGCCAATAATAAAACTATACTGAAATGGCTGGCAATAGCACTGGGAACAAGAAAATTGATTCATACTTTTTCAGAGTGAAAGTGATAAACAACTTCAGTAAGGATTTGCCAATTCCATTTTACCAAATTGTTTCCAATTTTTTCCTCCAAAAATATTTACTCTTCTTTCCTAAGAAATGAGGAAAGTCTAGATACAATTGTGATATCTGAAATATAGTTAATTCGTTAAAGGAATACTACTAAAATATTTTGGGATTAGGTACTGTCCTCATATCAATAGAGGAAAATGAGTTATGTCTTAATTTTAGAAGGAGGAAAAAAATTATATATACATTAAAATAATATTTCTTTTAGACTTACCCGTTGCAGCACTAATACTCTGCAAGCTTTTATACTGGCTTCCATTTCTATCACAGCTGCTGCTTTGCACTAAAACAGATTAAATTTAGTAAATTTCAAGATAAACACATCTAAATTAAACAATAAGTCAATTGTGAAAATGAAAAATTTAATATCTATATGATGTATAATTATAGAAATATTTTTATTTCATTATCCTGTGTGTCTAACAGATAATATAGAAACATAAATGATCCACATTTAAAAGTAAAGACATTGAAATAAAAGAATTTTACTATTATCTTTTCAGTTATAATAAAGAATAAGAAATAATTATTTGGAATGTTGGCATCTATTTGGATTATATACACAAAACGGAATATACTTTTTAAACCTACTCACACGCACTTTCTTACTTCTAAAAAAATCACCTACAGTTAGAACAAAAATTATTCTTATGAGCATCTCAAAAATTTTTGATTATCATTAAACACAAAAATTACGTATTTAGGGAAAATGTTATGAGAGGGAGGAGGCACATTTTCACTGACATAATACTCTAGAAGATTCAAAGAGAATTGTTCTTTGGGTTTTAGAAAGAAGATGAAACCATCCATAAGTAATAAAAAGTTTTTTTGTAAAATGTGTCAGGTCATATGTATATAAATCCTAAGTCTTAATTATTGACAGTAAATTTGTTTTGTTGGAAACTTGATTCATTGTAAAAGAAACTGCATGATTAGTGATTGTTAGAAAGTTAATTTGGTTTGTTAAAACATTACTTAGATAAATTCAGAAAGAAACAGGCTAGAAAACTGAATTGCTTGGAAAAAAAATTACATCAACCCAGCAACAAAATTGCTTGAGGAAAAGAAAAATCCAATATGACCTCAGTACTAATATTATTGGAAAATAATCGTGCATTATTTCTTGTACAATAAATATGTAATCATTTCATTACAGAATATATAATTATATTATAACCTAAGTATAACTTAAACATAATTTACAGAGATAATTCCTTTTCTCAAGGATTAGCTTACTTTGCTGTACTGCATAATGGATTCTTTATATTTTTCAATGATGTCATCTGGATCTAAACATGGCTTGGGTGGTGAATCTATTACATCACATCCATTGCTGTAGCTTCGTTTGACAGGAACAGGTACACCTGCAATAATAAAGCGGCATTAATTCTTTTTTAATTTTTTAACATGATTTAATACTGGTAGAAACAACAGATTCAGTTGTCTTGTTTTTTCCCCATTTATTGTATTCCATTATAATTTATTTTACTTTAAGCAGTTTTAATATTTGATATTATTAGGATCCACCTGGATTATATACCAACAGATCTATTACCTGTATTTTATATATATATATATATATATATATATATATATATATATATATTATATATGTTAAAAGATACATGATTGTTAGGAAATGCAACTAGTAAAATCATGTTGTACCCTGTCGGAACTCCAATTTTTTAACTCAAAAGTTTTCACTTTGACATCCACATAACAAAAACAGATCTTAATCTTGTCTGGTTCCACAAAACCACTTTCAGAATACCATCCAAAAATACCAGGATCATAAAACATCTTTTCTAACTAATCAAAAAAAGTCCACACAGTTTTTGCAGCAGCCATTTCTGAGACACTGACTCACTATAAAGTTAATGTTGATTTTTCCCATAAAGGCAGTTCTGACCCAATTGACATTAGCAACAGACCATCATGGCAGGCAAGCTTAACTGAATGCAGCAGCCGACATGACTACCTAGGACATCAGCAGCAACAGCAAGTCACTTCCATCAACCAGAGACTAACTACAATGTAATAATTCATAGAATATTTCTACCACATCTTGCTCAACTATATATGTGTGTTGATTCTCTCTGATGAGTCTATTTCACTGTACTACACATTAATGTTGATTTTCTCCCCATGTTTATTTCAGCCACTACCTCATGTTATACCAAAAACAAACTCTCAGTTTCACATGACTGATATAAGATTATCTGGACCAAGCAAATGTAAATCATGGAGAATAAAACTCTTACCTTCTTTCAACCGTGTGTTATCCCCATTTGTTGTTTTGTCTCTTCCATTTGTTTTTGCTAATGTTAAGACCACTGTTACAATCTTTTCTTTCTTTTGTAATATACAGTCTATTTGTGACTTAAGCTAGTTTGTTCCTGCATGTAACTTAAACAATTAGAAATAGGCTTGAATTTTAAAACATCCAAAAATGATTTAACTGGTTACATCATTATTAAGCCATTATGTTTAAGTTAATGAGCTGATTGTTATTCTAAATGAATCATTAATAAGTTTGTATTTTAATTTTTGGTTACATTTAATTATGGCTCAGACTATAATGCATATTTCACAGATGAGAAAATCACCACTGATCTATATTTAATTACAATCATGTGCCTCAAGGCATTCTGTCAATCAATTAAAATCTTTTACTGAATTTTTACATCATTTGATAATTGAAACCAAATGTTAAATGCTTTTATAAAACTATTTTCATAAAGTGATTTATATTGTGGATAAATCTGTTTTGAACTTTTAGACATGAGAACATATACTCCTCTATTAAAATGAAAACAACCTATTATGAAATGCACACTATATATATATATATATATATATATATATATATATATATATATATATACATACAGTAATTACTGAAATACACAAGCATAAATATAGCAGGACTTACTTGGCCTAGCTTTAATATCATCAATCTTAGACTTTCCTCTTCTTACGCAGAAAGACAAATTCCTTTTTAATAATGGACTGCCAGTCTGTGGATAGGTGAGGATCACAGATGATGAGCACAGACCCTCATAGCAGGCTAATAAATAAAATATAAATAACGATTATAACAAAGAAATAAGAAACAATGCAAACTGTATGAAAAACAGACAAAAAAAGATTTTATCTTAAATTTGTTTACTTGATTTTGGGGGCAATGGGAAATTAATTTTGAAGATTTTAGTTTTATTTTGTAACATTTCTACTATTTCTTATTACTATAAACATTAAATTCAGTGGGTACATGTTTTAGTAGACATCCCTATTTATGTTTATTTAAAAAGCAAGAACAAATAGAGTACCCACTAATTATGATGCTTATAGTAATAAGAAAAAGTCAGATTAAAAAATATATCAATTGCTTTCAAATTATTTCTAGTGTATCAATTGATAATTTGTATAGAAACATTACAATGATGCAACAATATTTTATTCCTAATCCTTTCTCATGAATAAAATAGAAAGAACTAGCAACTGACAGCCTTAAATTTCAAGGCAAACTTTTGATTGATCAATTAAGATTTCAGATTGCTATAAATTCTTATCCATCTTCAGTTAGTGCTGCAAATTTGTCTATAGACTGGTGATATATTTAGCTTTCTTTTCAATGCTTCAAAATATAGGATGTTTGAACCAATTAAATGTAAAATATATTAATTCAGACAGCATGAAAAAAAATTCTGATTTAAACAACTTGCTGAATATTAATATACCATATATACTCGCATATCATGTGACCTTTAAAGACCTAATTTTGAAGCTAATTTGAGTACATTAAATGGATATATAGTCTGGTCAATGGTGTAGCCAGAGCCAGTGATATGTATGCTAATTTTATATATTGCGTATGATGTAAGCCCCTTAAAATTAGGTTCAAAAGTCACAAGATATATGAAAATATACTGTATTCAGGTCTTAAAATAATTTTACTTGAAAACATCTAAACTGGCTGTTGTAATGGTTCAAGCAGTATTTTTTTTTTTGAAGCAGTATTTCAAGATGCTGTCCCTTGTAGAATACCAATTACACCAAATAATGTAATAATTTTATAGAAACAGAACAGTATTCTCAGTTCTTGTGGCAGTAAAGTGTACAAATTAATGCCAAGCCTTTTAGCCTCAAGTAAAACTAGCAACAAGACATGACAAATTTGTGAGCCTTTTGAAAATGAACTACAACCAAAAACCATCCCTTATTGTGCAGGGATTCAAATCAGAATTTGCTACAAATTTTTGTAGCATAAGTTGAGATTGGTCATAAGAATTAACGATAACAGGATACAAAGGAGATTACTGGTGGAAAATGTAAATTGTGACTTATTAAAAAGTGTTTAATTTTTAATCTGTTAAAAGAGGTGTACATGAAAATGGAAAACAATATTGACATAAAAGATCTTGGTGAAGTAATAAAAATTGCTAGAAGTAATGCTAAAGTTTAAAGAGTACAAAAGTTAACAAAATCAATGGATTTTATGTTATCAATATTTTTAATAAGTTGAAACTCACATGATATATTACTCCTATAAATCTAAGTACACCCTGAAAATCATTTGGTAAAATCAATTTTATTATGAAAATATTAACTTGTATAATATGACACTGTGTATAACAGATAAATTTATTTATTTACTATCAATGTAATTAATTACTTATGATTCCAGCCATAACTAGATACAATTGTTAAACTAGATTGGATTAAGATACATATTGATGATAGAAGCTGTTTAAAAAAAAAAAAAAAGATAAGAAAGGCCTTACATCAGAGTCTGTGTATCAGGTATTACCAATTTGTGATAAAATATCAACTTCATCAGTTATATACCTTCAACTTTCCCCATTCAGCTATATTTACAATTGAATATATATAAATTGTATTTTTTTCTTAAGATTAGCACATGTTTTCAGGGACATCACTATATGTTGGCTAATAACATATGTTTAAAACCTTCTAAATATTTATCATTTTTAAGATGGACATTCAATCTCAATTTAAACTTACTCCATTGTATCATTAAATTCTATTTCAAGAGTAATTGAAAGCACACAACACGTTCCACTTAATCTAAGCATTAACCTTTGCTAGGTTCAATGTAAGTGACACTGATTTTGACACAAAATTAAAACCAGAGGCTGAAGGTTACAAATTAAATAAACTTAATAACTAGGATTAAGAATAAAAATTGATTAGTAACAAGTCTATATTTGATTTAATAACATTGGTCCAGTTTTAAGTAAATGTAGTATTAAGCTTCAAAAAAGATCAAGTAAATACAGTGGACTTCATTTTAGCAGGATCAATTGTGTAATAGGACAAAATGTGCAAGAACAGGTTCAGATAAAAAGGTCAGAAATTTACTTCACTATGACCAGTGTTCAGTCCGTTTGATCCAATAGTGGATACTGATTTAAGTTACACATTCTTCTAGTGAATGAAAAATAATGTTGCCAAGGTCTGAATGTATTGCCAATGATTTATGATTATTAAAAGAATAAAATTCTTAGATAACATTAATAATTGTTGTAAAGTAGTTGAAGAACTGGAATGTTGAACTACGTTAGGATACATCATATTTATATTGTCTTAGGGCATAGGTGATCACAGGTCTCTACAATTTTCTATCCTGTGGATCTCTTAGTAAGGATTGTCTTTTTACAGCCCTTCCCAGACCCTGTCCTACCATCCATTTACACAAACACATTAGGGAGATTATTCATTTTTTCCCTCTCTCACTTTGTCTTCAATACAACTTGTGAATGTCAAATTTTCCAATTTCTCTTTCCTCCTTATGTGTCTAAGAAATTTCAAGTGTCTCTTTAATTCCAAGTAAAGCAATCCTTTTAGTTTCCATTTTCCTTAAAACTTCTTTTATTCACATGTTCAGTTCATGGTATTCCAGCATCCTCCTGTAGAACCAAATCTGTTGCCTCACACTGTCATATAGGAGGACCAATATTACATTACAGCCTTGCGCTCTTTTCTATGAAATTTTTCTGTTTCTTAATACTTTGCTTAGCTTTTGAAAAACATCTTTCAGTATTCCAATATGCCTTTGGATTTTAGTATCAGGTTTTCTGTCCTCTGTTAAAATACTTCCCATATATTTAAATTTTTGTACTTGCTTAAGTTTGGTACTTCTAATTTGTAGTTTGTATCTTGAGCTATTCCTCTTGCTGGCAATCATACATTGTTTTTTTACAATTGAAGTATAGTCCTTTCTTTTTTACTTTTCTTTACTACTTTCTCTAGGAGTTCTTGCAGTTTTCTTTCAGTATCTGCCGTAAATACTGTGTCTTCTGCATATCTTGTTTTATTAAGATTGTGTCTGCCAATAATAAATTCTGGCAGTAACATTTAGTTCTTTCAGGATTGCCTCACTGTAAATGTTGAATGTCTGATGAGAAAACACAGGCTTATTTTATGCCTCTTTCTAGTTTTTCTTATTTACTAAATTCATTTTCTATCTGTATACAGGTAGCTTGCACCCAGTATAAGTTCTGGATTACTCTAATAACTTTCTCAAATAAATCAAGTTTTCCTAGCAGTTCAAACAGTCTTTTGTGTCAAACACTTTTGCATCATCTATAAAATATAGGTAGACATCCTTCTGCATTATATATTGCTCTTTCTGATATCATTTTGAGCATAAATATCACATACCTTGTTCCAGTATCTTTAATGAAAATGCACAAAACTAGTAAACTTACTATTTGAAGAAAATCTTTTAAGTACATCATTAACAACAAAAAGGAGATTAGTGTAAAAGCACCCACTTTAAAAGTAATAGTTTGTAGCAGACTGTTGGCATAGAATGGAAAAAAAAATCTAAAAAAACAAAAAAAAAAAAAAAATCTAAAAAAACCCAAAAAAAAAAAAAAAAAAAAAAAAAAAAAATCTAAAAAAAAAAAAAAAAAAAAAAAAAAAAAAAAAAAAAAAAAAACCACCATTCAGGACGGTTTAATCGATTATGGTTTTAAATATTCCGACATTAATAACGTTGTCACTGCAATACTGACATTCATTGTTGTTGATGCAAAGAGTTGCAAATGTAAGACAGTTTCTAGCTGTTAACAAAACTTGCAATGCTACAAAGACTGTTGAACAAATTGTAAAAAAAAAAAAAAAAAAAAAAAGCTGATACAGGAAATATATTGTTGAGATAAAGTTTAAAACAAATTGAAGGTGCCTAGATCTGAATTTTCACACACTCACAACTGAGTCAATGTTATTTGCAAGAAAAATTTGTGAATTTGAAGGTCATTAATACTCTTCTTTAATTTATGATTTTTTTGAAAAATTACTTATTAAAATGCAATGATATAAAATCCAGTCAATTTATTTTAAAGAGTCCATTGGTTTTTCATTTATGGAAATTATTTTTTCTTTTTGCATAGAGTAAAACAATCAGAAAAAAGGGAATTGAGACGCAAGTAGAATTTAAATACTATTATCTAAAACAGTTGGGACATTAAAATGATTACAAGGTATAAAAAAGTATACTGAGCAAATGAGTTTTTGATTCTCTGAAAAGTTAAGCTGTTCTAGAGCAAGATGGTGTGGCTTGTACAATAAAAATTAAAGTTTCTTGTGCTTAACAACAAGTATTGTAAGAGATTTGCTAATAACCTATACATTCTGCAACATTTGAAGAAATATTTTTCCACTAAAACTATATGCTAGAACAATATAAAAATGATAAATTATTTTAAAATATTATTGCTTCTTATAGCTATCACATTTATTTGTATTAAAAATATATTAGAAAAAAAGTGGGTTATAAATAAGCTATCTTTGAGCAAAATATTACTTGTCCAGTACTGGCCAATATTTGTGTACTATAAAATCCTTGAGAGATTGAAAAATTTTAAACATTTTGTAGCACCTTATAACCACTAAATTTAATTTCATTATGTACAGTTATTGACAAAAACTCAAGTTTAGCCATTTATAAATGTATCTTCATGTACTATTTTTGTTAATTACATGAATACATAAGAGAAAATATAGTGTATCCACTTAGAGAACCATAAAACCATTCCTCAGATTGATATGGATGATGGGTGACTGCCATCTGAGGAAATGTTATTGCAAAGGAAGGTACAATAAACTGCTTTGCATATAAATTACATTGTCAGATTAAAATATATTGCTTCAGAGTATAGTGTAATAAAATTGTGTCAAAGACATTCCATTTCAAGTAGAGAAAGCTTGTCATCATATAATTAAACATAATAAACCAAATTGTATGATATAAATATCTAATTATCATGTTCTTTTCCAAATTTCAAGTTTTATTAAATGTAACAAAAAGGGATATCTTGATAAAATTGTTTTTTTCATTAATTTTAATAGTTTTTTTTTTTTTTTTTTTATAATGATGTCATTATGAATCAAAGTGAAGTAATTTGAATAATTTATGCAAAGAAAATAAAAATATTAAAGAAATCCTGGTCTGTTACATTTAAATGTATTTCTTGAACTCTCTAACTACATTGTGTGTGTGTGTGTATATATATATATATATATATATATATATATATATATATATATATACACACACACACACAGAGGGTGCAATGAGTAAATTGTCACCATTTTATATTTTAAATTTCACACATACATGTTTGTTTTCATCAACTGCATAGTATAGTAGGGTCAGTTGGGCACCATCTGTGTAAAAAAGACCACCATGACGTAATCCATTCCACTGGAAATTTATAAACGGTTTGCTGTACTGTTTGCCATTTGCATGCGAAGCTCCAATATGAACATTTCAGAGTGTTTGAGTGTCAATCTGAGGACAGTGCAGAGGATGCCGTCTCCCCAAAAGATGTAAAGAGAGTGATAAAAACCAAATATCCAATCAACATCATGGTGTTTGGAGTGATTACTAGTGATGACGATGTTATGTTTCCATTCATCTTCGCACAAAGCAGACACAACATGGAGGCTTATATCAAGTGCCTTGAGGAAGTAATGCTGCCCTGGGTAAAGAGGATGGCTGCTGGAAGACCCTATGTCTGGTAACAGGACTTTGCACCATGTCACACAAGCAGGAGAACCCAGTCATGGCTGTCAGACAAGTTCTGTGATCACATCACCCCTCACATCTGGCCACCTAATTCCCCAGACTGCAACCCGCTTGATTACTAGTTGAGTGAGAGACCAACAAAACTTCTTGTAACACCAAAGATGAACTGAAGCATTCACCAACTTAAACAAGGAGACCGTCCAGAAGATTCCAAAGTTGTCTGGAGGCCATAGTTTAAGCTAATGGTGATTTTATTGAATAAATTTACTCTTTAGTATTTCAAGATATTTTTGGAGTAATTTTGGTAAAATGAGATGTCAGTGTTATTTTCATTTTTGTGTAATTTAGATGACAATTTATCCATTATATATATATATATATATTTGCTGTGAAGTCATAGATAACAAACCTGGGACATTGAAACACATACCCAGTGATCAATTAAATCAATAAGCCTTTATCTCAAAGTTCTTTTCTATTTAAAAATAAAAAAAACTATTTTGTTTATTAAAAAAAAAGAAAAAATTTTTTTTTTTAATATTTTCCTAATTTAAAGTAAAAATATATTTATTTAACATAAAAGTCAATATATGGCTATATAATTTAAATGATACTTAATTTCAACAATTATTGTTTCATTAAAGACTCATAAAATGTTTTAATCCTAATAGTAGAAGTGCTTGCAGTTAGCTAAAATTATGATTTTTAAACTTAAACAAAAGCAATACCAATTATAGGGTTTAATAGGCTTCAACAAAATGCTTTATATGAATAATGTAATATGAATCCATTTAAAAGACATGACCAGTTGAATACTTCATCATTTGTTAGAAAGTAGAATTAGTGCAGTTGGAAGAAAGTTAACAGAATTGGGAAAGCATTAAGAGTATATCAATTAGTTTCTTTTGAGAAGATATGGTTTGACAGTTCACTGATATAAATGTTTGTTTATATATTTGAGGAGGACATTCACTCAGGAATCTCTGCTCCTCTCCAGTCCAGATTGAACTCAATTGAACTATTATCCCTTAACAAGAAAATGAACTGATCAATTAACTGTCACACTGCACATCTAACTTCTCCTTTCCTTTTATACCCTTACCAATTTCCCATTTGCTTCTGTCTGTATACATATCCCTCCTCCATCACTAAGTCACCAATAATTGTTGATGACTAGCAATAATTTCCCCATGAAAGTTTTCCCTTCTTTTTACTTCAGTTGTCCTAAAATAGTTTTGATTTCCTTTTGTCATCTTTGAGTTTATCTATTGAGTTATCCTACCAGTACATGTAGGCATTAAATCTCCACCAAATCGTATATTATCCAAAAAATCATGAAGAATGTTTTACATAACGATCTTGGGAATCAAACAAACTGCTACTCTATTTGCTCAAGAATAATATGCTCTTTTTTTGATAAAAATAAGGAAAATTCACTTGTAGAGTAGCAGAAAACTTTATGATTATAAACAGCAACCATAGCTTGATAATCACCAAAGATTAACTAATATGCTATTAATATTAAAAGGTATACATTAAAACAAAAGGCTAGCAATAATAAAATTTATATTAGATACAATTAAAAGAAACAAAATTAAAGATGCTGGAATTGAAAGTAGGAAAATAGACAAAAATACAACCTCCAATCCATAGAGAATCATTCACGGTTTTGAGAATATCTAAGGAAGTCTGATAATGTAAAATGGCTTCTCCTGGTCGATCTGCTTGTAAGCAGAGATCTGCTAAATGTTTTCGTAGACGCCCTTGACACTTCCTTTTGAAAGACCTGTTTGAGAAAGATGTTAACATGAAATTTAGGTAGATAGAATGAAAAGGCAATATTGAAAGAGTGTTATGTTAAAAAAATAAGAATTTAAAAAAAAAATACAGATCAGTAGAAGTCTCATGAAGAAATTTTCTCACAAATGAATATTTTTATAGTAAAATAAAATTTTAAAAAAAAACAAAACAAAACTGCTTAAATTAAACCACAAAACTTTTGTCCACTTTAAAAAGAGTATTACACCAAGTAAACAAGCAAGTATTTTTTCCAGAGAAATATGAGTATATACAAAAAGAGGATAGGTAAAACAGAATGGATAATTTAAATATATTTAATTATAAATATTAAAATATATTTTTTTCTTTTCCATCAACAACCATTAAATATTGTGGATGTGGACAATAACCAACAGATGATATCTAATATAATTTGATTAGAAAAAGTAATAAAAACACCTTAGTAAGTCTAGAGATCATAAATCAAATAATGATGACAAAAATAAGCATTAAAATTATGGCACACTTGAAGAAACTATAAGCAAATTCTAAAATAAAAATATGTAATCCACTAGAAGTTTTTATTTTTATTTATAGAGGTTAGTGGTCCTTGTCTTGCTATCAAGGCTCTTCCAGATGTAGGTGATCATGCATCTCCATACCTCCCTTCTCTGTGCATAACTATGATTGTTCCTTGGAAAGACAGTACAGTGGTTTCATGTTGCCTTCTCCATGGTTTTGAGTTTTCCTTCTGAGACTTGTTATCCTAGTCTGCCCTGCTTTAACTCCTAGCTGAAAGAAGAAGTAGATTCATGCCTTTCTCCAGTGTATTAGAGATAAACACAAGCAGTTTCAGCTAGAATTTGAACTTAGCTCATTAATTCCATTTTCTGTTTTTTTTTTTAATCATTAGGCTACCATGTTTCCCAGAGGGATATGATGAAAACTTAAAAAAAAAAAAAAGGAAAATAAAAAGTTATAGACATAACTTCTGGTTAACTTCTCAAATCCAAGAAATAGAAAAAAGAGGAAGCAAACATAGCTGGAAGTAAGACTTGCTAGTATATGAACCTATGTATAACATTTCAATAAATATTAGACAAAGATAGCACAGGTTAGTAATTTGACTTTTACCAATCTATATGACTAATATATTAGGTTGAAAGGTAAGTCTTGTTACATTTAAAGATGGAAGAGGAACAAATGATTCTTCGATCTTAATTGATATATTTAATTAAGATAACATTTCCTCTCATTACCAATATCATAATCCCATTTATTTGGCAAATTGTTGATCCCTTGGGCATAAAAGTCTTCAGTTTTCAATGCATAGAAACACTCAATATCAGTTTTGACCTCTTCTCAATTAATAAAGTGTTACCCTTTTACCAATGTTGCAATGAGAATCAGAGAGCAAGGTTAGGAGAGTAAAGATGAAGCAAAACTTCAATATTTAGTGCCATAATCTTTTCTTCAGTGTAATATGTGGTCTTGCAGTATTGTGTAAGAGCAACATGCTTTCATGATTAACAAATGATAGGCACATTTTCTGCAAATTTTTGTACAAGGCTTCCAGTTAATGACAACTGCTTCTTTGCATTAACTTACATTTTGGTTTAGTAAGTTATGATAGACAATCCTCTTCATATGCCACTAAACAGAGCATAACTTTGTGAGGTGTAGGCCTGTTTTGGAGATGGATTCTCCTTTTTCAGTGGGTATTAATCATTGCTTTCATTTGAGTTCATACAGAATACAGTGTCCAATATAGTTCCTTTTAAAAAAGGTAAATTTCGTTTACACTTTTTGTGGAGTGAACTAAGTTCATGTTATTAAAACAAAAGGCCGATGGACCAATTATAAAATTTTTACATTGTCTAAAAGAGATCAGCAGATATTGAAAATTTGAAAGACTTGGAAAAGATGAAATGTATATAGAAGAATTAATCCAGTTAAGATTAAATGATGATATATACAACATTTCTCATAGGTATAGAATGTTGGAACAATTACAACAATAAAATGTCACTTAATTCATGTGTTGACTAGACAACAAGAGTTGATTAAAAAAAAAAAAAAAAAAAAAAAAAAAAAAACTCAAGTGAACATATGATATAGAAGATCAAAATAAAATGCAAATATGATAATTACAAACATGCACTAAAAAGAAAAGTGCCCAGATTTTGGAAAACAATTAAAAATATGTAAAAAGAAAAATCATTTTCATTTTTAAACCATGTATAAGTCTTTAAAAAAAAAAAAAAAAAAAAAAAAAAGTATAGGACATGTCGAAAAAAAATGAAAAGAATTCAGAAGTTAAAACCAACATTTTTTCACTACAGGAAAAAAAAAAAAAAAAATGCATTAATTAAAGTTCAATTCAATGATGTAACCTTACCTATACAAATTGACACTGATATTTGAGAACAAATTGGTAAACCAATTTTGCAATATGTTCTCCCTGGTGGAAGCAAATGGGCATCACTAATAGTATTGAGAAAACTAGATAACAATTTATGTGATTGCAGATATTATAAAATAGGTGTGAATTCACATCCTATTCCAAAACATTGAATCTGCAATAAATCTGTTAAATGGAGTGAATTTTGTTGCAAAAACTGATTGGACATTTTTCCAGTTTTCTGCTGCTAAAAAAAAGAAGAAAAAAAAGAAAAAAAAAAAAAAAAAAAAAAAAAGAAAAAAAAAGAAGAAAGAAGAAAAAAAAAAAAAATGGTCTTAGGAAACATTCAGCAATTTTATTTCAGGAAGGATACTTAGTAATGTACTTCTCTACAGCGGTGTGTGCATAGGTCTAGTAGTGCCCGGCTTGAGGATTGTGACTGATATCACCACCACCAAAATCACAATATATACTTAGTTTATTTTCTTTTGGACAGATTCATTTTTCACAAAGTTTTATCATAATCAGTTAGAGAGAATGTTTAAATAAAAAACATTAATACATTATACAAATTCGGCAAATTTTATTTATTTATAGATTATAAATAAAGTTGTCAAAATGGCTTAGTTTGTGAACATTTCTTAATCGTATCTTATTGCTTTAACACTAAGACTACAGAAAGTTGAACATACCGTTTAAAAAAAAATAAAAAAATAAATAAATAATAATAATTGACACTTGATAAAATAAATGAAAAACAATTTCAACTCAGTAAGATAAAATCTTGCGTAAATATTTCTTGTATAATATTTGTTTTGCAAAATCTTTTGAGAAAGTTTTTTGCAAAATATGGCAACAAAAAGGGAAACTATATTATTGTGCACTCAAAAACATAAGCTGAAAGATTAATTTTTAAAAGATATTTCATTTTAGTTCTTAATCAAAACTAAGTTTGTTTTGAAATTCTTGAATTTTTCACTGTCTCTTGTGACATTGTTGGTTATTAATAATTATCTAAAGTCAGGTTTATTTACTATTAATAATAAATAGTAATATAGAAGATTTGGATTTTGCATAGTGTGGAAAATTAATGACCAAAAATCAAATAAAAATATCAAATTAAAAGAATTATACTTACATTATAAACAAATACAATTTACTTATTTTAGTGGTGGATATTGACTTACAGATATTTTGAGGTCATGTTTACAGTCTTCCTTTGTATGAGTACACCTAACTTTGTGGGAAGTTAGAACAACAATGATTTAAAACAAGTTCTCAATTTTTTTTTTTTGTATGAAATGGCCACCATATTAACATCCATAACTTACATGATGGTTGCATAATATAATAATTTATACTATCAAAGAAATTTCACATTTTTATTTTAATTATAAAGATTTGGCCATTTATTGCTATATCAGTGGTACTGTCAATAAAATATATTTGATAGTAGCTTATATTTTTACTGTACAAAGAAAAACAAGATATAAATAATAATAATAATAAAAATAATATTTAGCTCAACTTTAATGAGATATTTGATGTTGTATCATATTTGTAATTTGGCTTAGAAGTTTGTAAATATAAATTTAATAAAAGAGGTTCAATTGTATTATAGGGACTGTTGGATTTACTCACCCATTTTGCTCGGTATTTGTCCAAAAGTTGGATAAAAATCAATTCTTGGCATGAAATGGTATTTTTGTTCAGACAAAACATTCTATTTCTAACATATATAAAATTGAACTTTTATGTCAAATTTTTACCTGTCATTGAAAAGAAATTAGCGACATTTTGTTATTCTTGAATTCTTGACTAGTACGCTTTAACCTCTTCACTTTTGCTTTTAAATTCGTTAAATTCTGTTAAAAGTTGTTTTTTGTGTAAAAAGAATATTCAAAGTTTATTTTCTGTGTCAAAATATTTATTTTTGGGGTGTTGTAAAAGTCCAGTCACAAGCCTTTAGAATTTATTTTTAATCCAAGGATGGAATTACCAAAAGTTACACCTAGAATTTTAAGATGGGCCATAAAACTTTTGAATATGTAAAAAGAATTACTATTACTTATGTTAATGCATTATCAAGATTTGGTTTAAAGCTGAACAAAGAGAACATATGAAATAATATGAGAGACTTCTAAATCAGCTAGCCTCAACAACATTACGTGATCTAGATCTCTGACAGAGAGACTGGGGGGAAAAAGGTCAAAGAATAAATGAAAATGAAACAACATATATAAGAGGAAGCTCAAGATACACAAGAGACATATGACACCTTTTCTGGGAGGTGTAGTGATATTGAAATGAGACTTGCCTATTTTACATATGAACAAATAGACTTGTATGTATTGCTTGTCTACTACTGTAGGAGGCAGTCAAGCACAAAACCCTGAATCTCACTCTTTACAACAGTAAGTTTTCTGTATTCTGAATATAGAAAAAGGATTTAATTAGTTGTAGTGGAATGATCAAGTTGTCATATCTATCTCATAATGAGAATTTTCTCTCTGAAGATAACAAAAATAGATTGAAAACTTTCTTAAAAAGGTGATTGTAGTGAAAGAGATTTTAAGTATGATTAAAAAGAGAAACAAGTCAATCAATTCTAAAATTTGAATGAAATTCAATTTTCATTAATCATTTCTAAATGAGAATTTCCACTGACTTTCTATCTAATGAAAAAAAAAAAAAATTATTATCTCAGTAAACTTAAGAGTGTTTGAATAAAGTGTATAAAGAGAAAAAAAAATTACCCATTTTCTTTTTAAATTGAGAGATCTGTTGATCTCCACACATTTGTTCACCTGAAAGGATCATATTGTAGATAAAAAAAAAAGAAAAAGTTGATTCATGTTTAGAGGGATAATTTAATTTCTTGATAAATCTCCAAAAATCAATTTAAAACTATCCTTTTTTGACCATGAGAATTGACACAAGAATGACATACACACACACACATATATATAACAAATAAAGTTGTCAGAACACAGAAAGTAAAATTTTAATCAAGTATAAAATGAAAGTTTTACTTACTTGCTATCAGTGTCTATTCCCTGAAGATCTCTCTTTTCAAAAGGAGCACACAAGAGTTGTAATTTTTCTGTCCTTTCAAATGAGCGATCCAATCGCTTGCCTTCCAAAACAAAAAACAAGGAGATAATGAGCTCACGAAGCCTCTCCTCTAAATCAATGGTGCCTTCAGTATTTGGGTAAAATACAACCTCAGCACCTGTGTTCTCCTTGTGTACACTTTTAGAAAAGATTCGAATGTTTGGATTGTTATTATCAGAATCTTTCTCTCTGATAGTATTATTGGCACCATTGGAAGAGAAAGAGTTGTCTAACTGACAGCTATCACTGCTGGGAGAAGGACTTTTGTCAGATGTAGAAGACAAGTTTTCAGCATCCAGCACATGGCTAGAATCCTGCGAATTACTTGTGCTTGGACTGTTATCCGTGTCAGATGAATTAATTTCTTCCAGTGGAGTCCCATCTCTGTTCATCCCAAACAGAATAAGGCGAGAATTGAAGATTGTGTTGGCATAGTCCTCCTTGATCTAAGAGATGGAACAAAATTATCACATCAAAGAAATAAATAAAGAATCAGTCACAAAAAAAAAGTAATTACTTAAATGTTAATATTGGAAAATTTTATTTAAAAAAAAAATTCTAAAGAAACAGTAGCAATTTCATAGAATTTATGGATATACAATCATGTTAGATAAAATTATAAAATTCAATTTTCTTTTAAAGTTGATTTGTTTTCTATATTATCAAAGAGTAAATGACAATGATAAAACTTTAAACTCAATTAACCCAAAAGTGGATTTTTTATTATGTATCTCAATTACATGCATTATATCATTGTTTAAAAATGATCACTATTAAATTGAAATTACAATTTCACAATATTTACTAGATAGTTTTACCATAATTTTCTCTTTAGAGTGTAACCTTTATACTAGACAAAAGAATATTTATTTTGAAGTAATATATTCCAATTCATCAACATAAAAATATGTCAGAAGAAACTAATGTTTCAAACTTAATGAGAATGGCCAGATGGTACATAGCTGAAATTTTGTTGCTCCCAACAACCACAAAAAAAGACTAAATTAGTCAGAACACTACATAAAATGATTAAAACAGTATATAAGAATTAATTTTAAATTTAACAGCCAATTCAAAAATGTATAAATAAATTTACATTAAAAAAGTAATTTACTACATTGGAAAAAAATTAATCTTAACATTGATTTATCTTTTTACAGGCATCATTACTTGATGAGTGATTTCTATTGATCTGAAGAAAAAAAATGATAGCAAATAATACAGATCTTTTTACTGGAGAGCTTATACTCTCTATAAAAAAATGTGATAAAATTTTAATTTCCATTATGAATGATAATGATTTAACTTCTTGACTGTAATAACTGCCACAATAGATATTTAAATTCCCTAAGGCCATGTAATTTATAGACAGCACTTTAATACAATTGCCTTTTCTTTTTATCAAAAAGAATTATTATTGATATAGTTTTGCAGACAATGCTATAATATCTTTGGACATAATTTTCAAATATTTTGTTTCTGTAAATATGAATAATTAATATTCAAAATAGTTGCCAATCCCTAATGTAACTTTGTAGATATTCCAACTTTTTTCTATTTTTTTTTTTTTTTTTTAAATGCAGGTCATGTACTACAAGTCCTTTATTTTTATATAAGAAATCTCTAAATGCAATACATAAGATATCAAAATATTTCATTACATCATGCAAAGAATTCTAAAATAAAAAAATTTAAAACGTTAAGTTTTAATTGGGTAAAAAACAAAATTACAATTAGTAAAGATTCAGAATTATTCAATGTTATCTAAACATTATTCTCTTCAATAGTCTCTTGAGCTTTTTAATTTTATTCTATTATTTACACCAGTTATTAGCCACGTACAACACTTTTGGATAATTTCATGAGAAAAAACATTTATTAAATTTTTTTTTCATTCTTGCTTGTTTATTCACACTTTTTCATACATAAGGATTAAATAAAATGTTTTTTGAATTTTATAACTTTTCATTGATGGTAATGTTTTCATCATTTTCAACCAGTGGCAATTTTCACTAAGGAAGATCATGTGTGTAAGCATCTTTCTAATAATAGTTTTTTTTTCTCTCTCTAGAAAAGAAATAAATTTATTATTTTTAAAATCAATTTTTGTATTTTTTTAATTTTCTTCATATTTTTTTTTTTTAATTATTGAAAAACCTTTCCCCAGTTTTAAGGCAGATAATTACTTGTATGATCTTCTGTGATGAAAATGGCTGAGGCTCCTTCAATGAAAAATTACCTTGACTTGTTTTAGAAGTGTGGCCTGCTTTATGATGGACAATATTTGATGTGGCTCACAACTTGGAAAAGGTTGCCTGTGCCTGATCTAAACAAATGGATTATAAGATTACAATTGTACAATGGAAACTTTGGATTTAGAGTCACTAAAGACTAAGTAACCAACATCAGGACCCAAATCTTCATGAATGGAGAACAACTGGAAGAAGCAGATGCCTTTAAATACCTTGGTGTTATCCTCACTAAAGATGGATGCTCTACAACAGAAATCAAGATCATACTGGCTATGGCAATACTGGCAATGGTAAAACTCAGTAACATTTGGAAGAGCAAAAACATCAGCTTTCCAACCAAGATGAAGCTCTACATTCAGTCCCTGGTGGTGTCCTTGCTGTTCTATTGATGTGAAAGCTGGACTGATAGCAGAAACCACCAAGAGAGCCCAAACATTTGAAGCGAAATGCTCCAGATGCCTTCTTGGGATCTCCTGGAAAGAACCAAGTAACAACTGACAGGCCCCCAGGAGCCCCTCTTGGCAACAGTAAAGTGGAGAAAGCTGTTGTGGCTTGGACACATACGCCACAATACTCTACCCAAGACTGCCCTTCAAGGTATCTTGGAAGTTGGTAGATGTAGGGGGAGGTAGTCCAAAAGCTGGATGGACAACATCAAAGAATGGACCAGGATGGACACTCTGATGCAGCTTTGTGAGGCAGAAAACAGATCCATTTGGCGGCATCTGGCCGCATTATCCTCAATCATTATCCTCATGTCTCTTCTATGATCAGCTCAGTCATGAGAAAAGAAGAATGTCTAACAGACTTTTGTTTTTGAAATTACATTGAAACATTTAAGTCATTGATCGAAAAAGAAAAAAAATGAAATTTATCTACAAGAAATAAGATTTAATACGACCAGAAGAAGCAATAGTTATTCACTCATTTGTTAAATAATTCAAATAAAAGATCTGTCAGATATTTCTGGATATATAAAGGAATAGTAATATTTGTCTTTCTAACATTATAAAATAGAAAACATATTTAATAGAAATGAAAAGATTGTTTGTTTTTTTTAAATAATTTTGAGAATTGTTATTGTTACAGGTGTTGTGTAGACTATTGAATTCATTTTTATTGTTACCACAATTGCTTACACAAAATGTTATATCAACAAAAAGAATAAAGTTAATAGTCTAGACAAGTGGAAATGTTAAATCCTTTTCTAAATTGATACACTAACTTTTTTAGTTTGGAGTTTAATCATTATTTATCATCATTAAACTGGAATTACATAAAAAAGAAAAGTGTTTTTCTGCACTATAAAGATGTGTGGTATTTCTGAATAAATTTTAAAAAAAATTCTTGTTTATTATTATATAGTAAACTATTTTGCATGATTGACAACTAATTTTATGATTACTTTTTTAACATCCTTTTTGTATGATCAGGTTTTCTAAAGACTTCTTAAAGTTTTATTCTAAATATGTATGAGGGAGAGACATACACAAGAGATAATTTTAAAAATCAATTTGGAGAGTAGATAAATAAAATTTGAATCCTGGGAAATATTTATCTAGCTCATATATTTTGATGAAATCAACTTCATACTACAGATATACACTTTGTGAAGAATGGATAGACAGAGAAAGTGAAAAAAAAAAAAAAAAAAAAATCAAAATGAATTAGTTAAATACCTTTTTGTAACTTTCAAAGGTTTCTTCAAACTCTTTCATGTTGTGACATTTACCAATGCAGATAAGTCCAAGGACTTTTCTATGAGCCTGGAAGTCTCCCCATTCATTGTTGTCAACTGGGTACATTCGTTTGTATCGCAGCCAAATTGTGCGCTGCTGGTTGGGGATGCGCACCATCGATACACGACGTATCCGTTCCCAGAGGTACAGGAATGTTTTTGTCTTGAGCAATGTACCAACATGTTTCACAAGAATTAGCAGACATTGGTGGTTCTCGGCTGTCTGCGAATAGTCTATGCAACTCATCTTAAGAGTTGAATGAAGATCATCTTAACATCTTCAGCAGAGTGCTGCAATAGAATCAGAGAGATGAGTATATACAAATTCAAATTATGGGAAGATAGTTTTTTTTATTTTTGAGAACCTACTCATTTAAAAGTCATAATTTAGATGAAGGTATTAAAATATGACAGAGTATACAAACATTGGTTGGAATATTTTGGTTAAGGATGAAATACTTTGGATAAAGTGATTTGAAGTGAAGAGCCTTTCTTAAGTTTTGTTATTTATGCATTTTAAGTATATAGAGATAAATATAAATGGAATATAATCATTTTGATCAAAAGATGCTAGCACAAAAGAAATGTATGTATGAAAATGCAACAGCAGAAATAATTCCTAGTGTCTGAAGTTTTTCTTTTAATACTGTTATATAGGAATAAAGTGTCGCTGCTGACACTTGAGTTTGAACAGATTGCCAGTGAGAAAACACAGGCAATCCCATTATTAAGTGGATCATGTGACCATAGAGGAAATCCATATATAGGAAGTTGCGTGACATCTATCCTCTATTACTATTTGGATCACTATAAGTGAGTATTATCGAGCAAGTACTATTAGTGTGAATGCTATTTGATACCAGCATTGTTCAAAGGCGTACAAGAGTTGTATTTGTGATTATAATGTCTCTACTACAACGAGCATTATGAAAGTGACAAGGAGTGTTCGTTGACATCACAAAAGTGGTGACAAGGATTCATTCAGCAGAGTTCAGCAAAATGGAAGAACTAGAAGCAATCATGGTTCAAATGTTGATGTTACAAAAGCAACAACAAGAACAACAGTTACAGCAACAAAAATTACAAGAACAACATTTCCATCAACTAAAACAACAAACTGAACAGCAATTACAATTACAACAACAGAAGATTTTTTTTGAGTTGTTTACCAAAACAATGGAAGGAAAAACTTCAGATTCATCCACTCCAGATTCTGTTGCTAATTCAATCAGTAAATTTGTATACAATTCAAACAAAGGGATAACTTTTCCTGCTTATTATAGAAGATATGAAAGAATCTTCAAAAGGGAATGTTTGCATTGGAATGATGAAAAGAAAGTTTGGTTATTATTAAGGAAATTGTTCCCTGCTGGACATGAAAAATATGTTAATTATATTTTGCTGAAAAAAGGAAAGAGAAATTTTGATGAAACTTCTAATACTATCAAAAAGTTTTTGGTGATAGGAGCTCATGATTTAATACACGATGGCAATGTCTTAACTTAGTAAAGTCTGACAATGAAGATTTTGTCACTTATGCAGGAGTCGTGAATCAAGAATGTGAAAAATTCAAGTTAAGTGAATTAACTCCTGATTTATTTAAATGTATGATATTCTTACAGGGTTTAACTTCTAATAAGGATGCAGAGATGAGATCCAGAATACTTGCTAAATTAGTAATGGATTCCAAATTAACTCTCCAGAAAATATTGAAAGAATATCAACGTATTGTGAATTTGAAACTTGATACCACATGAATTGAGGTAAAAGACAATTCCATCTAAGAGAAAAAACTACAAACGTTTTTTTAACTCCTAACAGAATGGTATAAAAAGACTAAACCCTCCTCAATACCTAATACTTGTCATGGTTGTGGAGATAAGCATTTTAAAAGTGACTGTTTTTTTTTCAAGAACAAAAAATGTTATGAATGTGGGAGATTAGGACACAAAAGTATATGTTGCAGATACAAAAAAAAAAAAAAAGAAAAAATAAAACGTATGTGAATATGATAAATACATGGAGTAACGATAAAAAGCCTAAAGGAAATTAACAAGACATCTCAAAAGAGGAAATTTGTTTTTGTGCAAATTAATGATGTAAAAATAAAACTGCAACTAGGTACAGGATCTGATATCACTATCATAAATGAACTCACATGGAGAAAAATGGATAAACCCAGTTTATTGACATCTAAAAGCTGCATAAAGAAAGATATTGAACTTTTTGGGTGAATTCAGCTGTAACATTTTTGTTGGAAAAACCAAAAAAGCAGTGGTTAAAGAATACTGTTAATTTATTTGGAACAGACTGGATTGCATTAGTTGATCTTTGGGACCTTCCAATTAACTCTTTTTGCAACAAGATAAATATTGTTACCCCCCAGTACTAACATGGCAAGTGAAAAACTAAAAAATGAACTGAAAAAGCATTTACCAGAAGTTTTCTCAGAAGGTCTAGGTGCATGCACGAAAGCAAAAGCTAAGTTTGAGTTAAAAGACAATGTAACACCAGCATTTAAGCCAAAAAGAAGTGTACCTTTTTCAGTCTTAGATCCAATTAATAATGAATTGGACAGACTAGAAAAATTAGGTGTGATATCAAAAATAGACTATTTCTAATGGGCATCACCAACAGTCTATGTTAAAAAAAAAAAAAAGAAATCCACATATGTGCTGATTTTTCAACAGGGTTAAATGAAAGTTTAAAACAACTACCTGTTACCAAGTCCAGATGAAGTTTTTGCCAAATTGAACAGAGGTCAAATTTTTTCTAAATTGGACCTGTCAAATGCTTATTTACAAGTACTAGTAGATGAAGAGTGCTCAAAACTAACAATTAACACTCATAGAGGGTTATATGAATTCAACTGACTTCCTTTCAGTATAAAGGTAACACCAAGCATGTTCCAACAGATAATGGATAACACGCTTGCCAGTTTGGATTGTGCTCAAGTATATTTGGATGACATTACTTATTATGACCAGATTCAAGAGCAAATGCAATAAAGGACGCAGCCGCTCCAACAAATGTAACAAAGTTACAAGCATTTTTAGGGTTTGCTAATTACTATCATTATATATTATATAGTAATTAGTGTGTGTGTGTGTGTGTGTGTGTATATATATATATATATATACACGAAACATGCATGAATTAAGAGCACCTGCTAAAGAAAGATGGGAAATGGAATTGGACAGATCAATATCAAAGTGCTTTCAAAGAGATCAAGTAAGTCTTAACATCAGATTTGTCACCAGCTCATTTTGACCCTAAATTAAAGATTGTGGTTGCATCAGATGAAAGTGATATGGGTAATGGAGCAGTGATACTACACAAATATGAGGATGGAACAACTAAATCAATAGCTCATGCTTCAAGATCATTGATTGCAGCTGAAAAAAGTTTCTACCATCTAAAAAAAATGCAGACAGATTGTCTAGACTAATACCAAAATTCTGCAAACTATTTGAAGACACAGTAATTGCAGCAATAAGTGCCGAAAATGAAATTAATAATGTATTATACAATAATGTAAGAACTGCCCAATACTGTAGGAGAAATAAGAATCAAGTTGGAAAAAGATGACTTTATAATGGAAATGAAGATGCAATTAAGATTTAAAGGAAAAAATATTACTGGAAATAATGCATTTTCATTATGTAATGATGTACTTTTGTATGTGGGACTCAATTAATGTCTAGTGAATTTAAGATTTTTGCAAATCATTAGCAATAGAACATATTACAACCCCCCCCTTATCAACCAAGGTCAAACAGACAAATGGAACATTCTGTTGATACATCTAAAAGGGCACTAAAAAAGTTGGAGGGAGAGGAGTCTGATGAAGTAATGCTACAACAATTTTTGAGTGTTTACAGAATAACACCAAACCCGAACACTGTCTGGTATGATGTCTGCAGAGTTGATGTTCTCCAGGAAGATTAAGTCTATTTAACAAATTACTACCAGAATGGAAAACGAGAATATCAAGGACTCAAAATAATATAAATAAATATTTTAAACCTGGTGATAAAGTGTTTTTTAAAATGTACCAACATGGAAAAGAATTCTAGAAAGATGGTGTTATAAAAAAAAAACGGATTGGCAAAATGACACACTTGGTACAGGGACAAAGGTGGGAACATAAATCACACTTTAATCAATTAAAATAGAGATTCACTGATTTAGTAAGTCCATGAAAAGAGGTACCAATGGAAATATTGTAAGACATGTTTGATATACTCATGCCACCAGAAATTAGTGAACTAAGAGCTACAGTAAAAGAAAAATAACAGCAATAGAACATTTGAATATTGAACCAAAGCTGAAGAAATATTGACTCCAGAGGAAGTCATCTCAAAGGGGACGTGTTATATAGCAATAAAGTGTCACTGCTGACACTTGAATTTGAACGTAGATCCCCAGTGAGCAAACACAAGCAATCCCATTATTGAATTAAGTGGATCATATGACCATAGAGGAAACACATATATAGGAAGTCACATGACATCTAATTGATCTGAACTTCTAGTCTATCCTCTATTACTATACAGTGATTACTTCCAAGTGAGTATTATGGAGCAAGTACTATTAGTGTGAGTGCTATTTGAAGGCATTTAACACCAGTATTATTCAACAGTGTACTATAGTTGTATCTGTGATTACAAAGTCTCTACTACAATGAGCATTATGAAAGTGACAATGAGTGTTGATATCACAAAGGTGTCAAACAAGTGCTCATTGACATCACAAAAAATACCATGATTCAATAGACAAGAACAAGTAATGCAAGCATATATGTTTTGTAGTCTTAATTAAAAAAATGCAGTTAAGCTTATTTCAGGTTAGCCTGTTGGAGAATTTTAACGTTGAACAGAGAAATAGAGAATAGAAACTTTTAAATCCCATAAATAAAGGTGATTTATGATTATAAGAAGATTACTGATGCCACACAGATTTATGTCTGAAGCAGTTTGTAAGACTGTTAATCCACTGATTGATTGAGTAGCAGCTTCACTAATATCACTCACCTTTTCATTACTAATGTAAATTAGAGTACAGTATGTACAGCATTGAAAATTTATATTCTGCAATGCAGACAGAGAATTTTAATTG